TCGAAAAGTCATATTACAAAATTGAAAAGTACATGTTAGATAAAGATGTATGGAAAAACGACACGGCTCCCGAATCCACACAAATTAGATTCAAAGTGTATTCCATAGCATTTAAGTTTATTTGAAAAGAGTATTCCCTAGAGTTTCTTGCTCGTTCTTCTCAGGGAGGTCAGCGCAGTGAACGAGCTGTAGCTTAAATGTGACATTTTCAAGTGTAAATTTATTTTACCTATGGAATAAAGATTCTTTGACTTTCAACTCTTTCCATTGTCACGACAGTCTGTCGTCGCAACGTTCTATGTGTGAACGACTTCATTTAAATATACAAGCCGCAAATGCATGACTATCTGTCGTCACAACATAATGTGCACAATCTATGTGCTTGTTGCATATATTTGTTATTGGTTTATAACGACTTTTTGCCGTAGCGCCATTTGTGAGAAATGTATGAGAAATTTATTATACAAACTAATGGAACAATTTCACAAAAATAATTTAATGGGTATCATGGTGGTCATGCATCGATTTTCATTTTTTTTCTACATTCATTTACGGAATAATTGCTCCTTATAATGAAATTGAGGCGCTATTTGTAAAAATGAGTCTTCATGCGTGAGCAGCCACACTTGGTCGTGAAATATATTCTTCAAAATTATATGGGACCACTACTGAGGTACACTTTTTCTAACAAAAACAGAATTATCAAAATCGGTTCACAAAGATACGACGCAAGGTCATAGAAAAATTCGTGAGGTCCGCTGGTTCGTTCCGTGGCTTAGTTGGATAGTGTCTGGCACGGTGTGCTAGAAGACGTCGGTTCGAATCCGGCCGGAATTTTATCTGAGTGATCTTTGTATTAATAATTATAACAAACTAGTGAAGTAAATTCACATAAAATAATTGAATATCAATTCAATAAAAATTTAAATACAATGAATAGCGACAACTCTAGCCGGGGCTGGTAGCTGTAAAGGTATCTAACTGGGTGACGAAATATTATAGATTTCTCATAGATGGCGCTACGGCTGAAGAGTCGTTGAAAAACCAAATACAAAGATACGCGCAGACACATAGAAAAATTCGTGAGGTCCACTGGTTATTCCGTGGCTTAGTTGGTATAGCATCTGGTACGGTATGCTAGAAGACGTCGGTTCGAATCCGGATCTTTGTGTTAATAATTACTAAGAAAGTATATTTTATTTTTAAAAGTCATATGTTTAAATATCGTGCAATGAATTTCTAGGCGCACCTCTCCCATTCCCATCGTACCATTTCGATTTAAATAAATTTGACCGATCAGCGTCTTTCGTAGTTAACTGTACTTCAGTTACATAAACATAAAAAGATTTTGCTTTGGGGTAATGCCGCCGATATTAATAGAATCTTTGTCCTGCAGAAACGTGTGGTTAGGGCAATTTACAATCTGGGGCCCAGAGTACCTTTGAAAGATAAGTTTAAAAAGATTAACATTCTGACACTAATGTCACTGTACATTTACGAAAATTTTTTTTATGTTAAGAACAATAGTATTTTTTTTATGAAAATAGTGACAGACATAACATTAACACGAGGAATAGAAATAAAGTAGCTTTTCTTGATAGTCGTCTTCACAAAGTCAAAAAATCATTTAAGGGGCAATGTATACGCTTCTATAACAAGATTCCGGTTGATGTACAAAATTTGCCATTCACGAGGTTTAAAACTATAGAGAAACGAAAGTTTTGTACTAAAGATTTATACAGCTTCTGTGTACTTGGATGGCAAAAATCCGTGGTAGTGACCCATTTAGCTCTTTCAGGTAGTCTCGATCTAAGATGTTTAAATTAAATATACCTAGTAATAGTAAATGTATTCAAATGCATATTTAGAAAGAGCAACCCCTAGCGTTTCTTGCCCATTCTTCTCAGGGGAATCGGCCTTACGAATGAGCAATGGAGTTTAATCAGTATAACGATTTCAAGTGTAATTTGACTGAAGATTGTTTGATTTTGACTTTGACTGCCAATTCTCAAACGTTCCTCATTTCCAGCTTCATGGGCCACGCTTCCATGCCTGGCACTACGGGCCTTTACTTCCTGCAAACGGCGGACAACCCACCCTTCGGGCTAGGCGAGGCTGGCATCCGTTACAAGAACAAGGACGGCATAATCAAGAACCTCGCCAACGGTGGGAAATCCGCTTTTACCAAAATCTTTGGATAGGTTTATGTTCTGGAAAGGGTTGTAAAAATTCGCGCGAGTAAATTTCTCTTTCCACAGCAGCTTGCAGCGAAATGAAATTGGTGTCAGTAGATATCACTTCTGCTGTCCCGACTTTCTTCGTCCCATAAATGGAATATTCTCTTCATGAAACTAAGCTGAAAATTTTGATCAATTTTATTAATTTTTGTGGACAAAAAAATATACTATGTCAAAATTGTTTTTACAACAAAAAACATTTAATGGTTCCTAAGACAGTTTCCTTGTATCTTCTATAGTTTCGGATTTCCCCATACTGTATCTCCGTACAGAGTACTAAAAAAACGGACCTCGAAAGTTCGTGGAATTAATCATAATTTATTCGGTGACCTTTAGTCCAAGTGCCAGAAGCTCAGCTAAGAATGAGACAAAAAATATCGCATATCAAAAACTCTACAGGTTATGTTTCACGCGACCTCCTTATACAAAGGATTAATGAAACGTAGATTAAAATTGTTTAACTTTAACATGAATTCTTCTATGTAGAGAATTTAGACGTAAAAAAATTTGATGACTGTGGAAAGTACTCGTGCGAATTTAAAGTTACGTAATGCTTTATATCCTTATACTCATAAATGAACGACATAATATTTAAGTTAACTGAAAGTTTAGTACAGATAAACTTTGTTCTGTGATTTATAAAAAACCGTTAACATGGCGGTGATAGGGCTACTGACAGAAAATGGAGATTCGACCCTAATTGTATCACTGTAAATTATATTTGTTGACGACTTATTAATGTGAATTATTAATGTGTTGTTTGTGATTCTACTTGAATTTATACAAATTGTTTTTTTATTATTTTAATTTATAAATTACAGGAATGACTGGTACGTATAAAGATAATGATAGTATTGCATTTATTACTCGTAGTAATTAATTAATATTAGTCAAGAGCATATCAAGCTTGACACTTAAGGTGCCTACAGATTTGCTACTCGATTTTGTAATGATCGACACTTGTGATCAGACACAATCGAGTAAATGCGTAAGCAACAGACTATCATCGACATTGCATTTTTTGTCGATCAACACTGTAGAATTTTTATAAAGCGTAGGTGCCTACAAATTTGTTTGATTTTAACCCTGATATTTGTCTATCGACAACAGGCGCAAATAAGGATCGATACAATCGAGCAAATCTATTAACTGACAGCGCCAATAACGGTCATCCAAAATCTAATAAATCTGTAGATATCTTACGTAGGCCATACAAGTTACGGTTTAGCGGAAAGGTCTACCTGTGCAGGTACACTAAACTGCACAGATGTGTTCCAAAACAAGTTCCGGTTTACCTGCATAGGTAGACCTCTCCGGTAGCCCGTAGCGTGTATGGCTTACATGAAGAACATTCAACGCCAAGTCCAAAGTATCAATTTGACATGCCCTTGATTGTACCAAGGATGCCAAGTTCAAGTTATGCGATGACGACTCTGATGAAATGAAAATATAATTTGCCAAAATATTTGCCATATAATAAAGATAATTTCCTAGAAGATACCAGTTAATCTAGACAGTACCAAGGTAGCAGTGCAATGCACTGAAATGTGTAAACATATAATGTCGATGGCCCAATGGCTTGCACCGTGGGCGCTGAATAAGGCCCCGGGTTCAATTCCCGATAGGATCAATTTATATTGGTTCTGCTGGTCTGAGTGTTCTGGATAGTGTCCAAAGCGAATTCTGCTGCTATGGTACTCATAAGTATAGTCATTTCCTAGTTTGGGACCAGGTAGGCAATAGGAGTGGTTATACGGCACATTTATTATTGTTTTAAGCCATAAATCAGAATTCGTTGTACAAAAAGCCAGCAAGTATTTTCAATGTGGTGGCTGGCGAATGTTATTCGAGTTTACTGTATCACACAACTGGACCTGTCTGTTCTGTTCATTTTGTCATAAATTCTATTGATGTAGATGACACGTACAATATATTTTTATGCAATAAAGAAATTGAGTGCAAAAAGTCATTGCTTGCGTTTTTGTTTTGGAAATTTTTCGCGCTGTTTTTACGCTCTACTCGCGCTGACGGCACTTTTACATCACTAAGTCCGTTCGTGAAAAAGTCGTCGGTGTACCGGACAAGGGGTATTTGACCTTAACTCAACTCTTGAGTGATAGTTCCAAAAGTGTTCAACAATTTTATTTAACTTTATTTGTTTACTTAAAATTAAAAATTACAGGACAGACTGGTACGTATCAGGAAAATGATTATAGTGATAAACCAATATCTAGAAGCGGTAGTAAGTGGCTTAAGAAGATGCTCGTGTCGAGACAAGGTAATGAGGCGCTTAAAAAGATTGGTCAGAAAATTGAAAAAGTCATTCAGAAGGCAATTCGGATAGCAAAGTACATTTTAAATGACGATTGTGAATTAGCCGACAAAAAAGATATAGTTGATATGTGGGAAAAGACCAACAAGCACGTATTGGAGCAAGTGTCACAAAAACTGGATATCACCGAACAGGATTTACTTGAAAATGCAGAAAAGCAGCAATCAATAGATGATGATGTATCATTAAAATACAATATTCCCGATTCAACTGACGATATCGAACTTAACAATGAAAAAACAAACTAGAAATGATAATTTATTCTAAATAAAATATCACTAGAAATTCGAAAAGTGCCTTATTCACTTAGCAGATCTGAATTTAATGAAAACTACAACTTACCAGATAAGAATGATGAGTTGACTAACACCACATAGAAAAGATTATTTATATAAATATAAATAAAGAAACCTGGAAAATCCTACCTGAAAATGAAAAATCAAGAAATAGAACTGAAAAAAACAGAGATAATAAATGAACTCGAATCTAAAACCTACAACAAATAAATTGTAACCGAAAATGGAGGAAAGAAATTACAAAAATAGTTCAACATGATTAAATAACTATGTCTAACAAACAAAAACACGTGTGCCTATTGTGAAATGCAATTTTTCTTGGCAATGAACATTTAAAACTTTTACCAGCGAAACTACATTATTGTTCGTTATTTTATGCAATGTTTTTTGCTATAATGCTTTTATTGTCTGCTAGAATATATATTTTTTAATAAGGTTTCATTCCGCGAGTGGGTATAAGCATTCGACGACTTTTGCACTCTATTTTTGGTCTCTCAGTAAAGTTCAAGTTTATCTACCATTTTGTTTAATTATCAAAAAAGTGTATTTTCATTAATAAATAATTTTCACGAGAGTCTGCACAATTAAAATCATTTTAATGCCTCTTTCCAACAAATAACACTATCCGAAGATATAGAATTAAAAAAAAATTGTCAAAATATTAAAAACTGATATAAAAAATAATCTACAATCGCGGGAGTTATTTGTATAGATATTATAACAAACACATATGGTTCAGCGCTACGAGATTATAAAATGTAGCATTTTTAAAAAGACAATTTTAAAAAGGGAGTATCGTTTGGTAAGCTGAAATTCTCCATTGAAGAACTTTTCTATGTCATAGTACTTAAGGCTATCGTTAGACATAGAAAAATGATATATATAAACTATAATATAAAACTATATTTTACAAGAAATACAACTTTACCCCGATAAAGTGCAACAGCATTCCAATTACATTTCATAGAAACTGAAAATACAGTTTATGGAGGCAGTTAATATACAAATGAGTGCAATCCTGGTGTTATTGGGGGTTGAACATGAGAACTAAATCAATCCTCATTATCAACTTGGATGCATGGTGCTCATTCACGCTATAGCGGTGTCATCAGTGCCATTCTTCAAATCTTTTAATCCCGTGCTATATTACTTATGTGGGGTGCAATAATGTACAGTTGTTATTTTACTGAATTTTATTAGTTGTAAATCAAAAACTAATAAACTTCTGGTATCAATCATAGATTACCTACTGACAAATCTTACATCTTTATCGTCTTCTAACCGGATTGCACCGAGCAATCGTTATTCTATTTTAATCTAAAAATGGAGATCTTTATTGTGTGACATGATTTAAAGATATTCCGTGGATTTAAATGGAATGTGAATTCTTAATCTTGGGCCACATCCGCAAAATGGCAACTTTTGAGGAGTAAGGTTTAGGTATAGATTCTACGAATTCGTTTCGTTTTTTATGTTCAAATAGAGTTAAAAATTTTCATATATACGTAATTCATGTCAAGTAATTCGCATTATTGTCATGATTTAAAAAAAAAAACAGTGTGTATTAGTGGAATCTCACAATTTGTGCTATCAAAATTTTTTCGGTGTCCTCTTGTCGTGTTGCTAGAAAAAAATCACATACATCAAAAACCTTACACTTCCTGTGCGGTGTAACTAAACGTTTTGTACAGATGTCAGCACAATCTTTAATCTGAGACTTATAATAAACCGTTAATGTGACGGTGATAGACGTGTTCACAAAAAATGGAAATTCGACCCTAATTTTAATCTCTGTTAATTATATATTTGTTGACGACTTATTAATGTCTGTTGAAATAATGATAAACGATTCTACTTGAACTTATACAAATGTTTATTTTAATTTATAAATTACAGGAATGACTGGTACGTATAAAGATAATGATAATAATGCATTTATTACACGTAGTAATTAATTAATATTAGTCAAGAGAATTTGAAGCTTTTCACTTAAGACTTAACTTGAAATGTGTGGCCGGTTGCGATAAAGGTGCCTATATATTTGACTACTCGATTTTTCAATGATCGACACTTGTGATCAGACACAATCGAGTAAATGTGTAAGCAACAGACGATCAATCGACAACACATTTTTTGGCGATGTCTGGCCAAAATTCGAGTTTACTGTATCAACACATAACTGTGCCTATGTGTTTTATTCATTTTGTCACAAATTCTATCGACATACATGACACGTACAACACATTTTTTAATTTTAGTCATGTTTTAACATGGCTGCCATACAAATTTTTTTGTCGGTTGATAAAAATTTGCTGTAATTCGACTGAAAATCGTGGTTCTCTATGATTATTTAATAATAATTTGCGGTCAAAATTTATTGTTTGCCTTTCAATTACAATTTGCTTTTTCAACACTTACTTACTTTAACTGCCTCCGTGGCCGGACTGCCACGCAGAGGTCTCAGGTTCGATTCCCGGGCCGGGAGAAATATTTGTATGGCCTACATTTATTTCTCTCGTGAGTTTGGGTGTGATTTGTGGTTGTCTATGAGTGTGTCAATGGCACCTGCGACACAGGGTTTCCCTAGTGCGGGGCTATGTTGAGTGTGTGCGTTATAAAAAAAAACAGGATCTCACAATTGTCCAAAATGTATGGCTCACTCCCCGATGTAGTGGGAAAGAGATACTTTGTTAGCGTTTTTGTACCTCAACCGTCTCTCTGTTAGATTCTTTTTTTTTGGAAGCTATACCAAAGAGAAGTTTTTAGGGAAAAAAGTACCAGACAATCACACCAAATTTCTTTTCTCAAGTTAGGGAATATTCTGTACCAGAATAACGATATTTCTGAGGGCAATACCCAGAAGACCCAGACCAGAACCAACTTCGAAATGTTCGTTTCTTAAATTGACCCAAATCGGGAGTCGAACCCGAAACCTCATCACCGAGCACTAACCGCTGTGCCACCAAAGAGCATAAGCACATCCCGTAATCTAAGCCCGACCACGCGCCTCAAACCGAGCCTGGGGGTCTACTCTCGATGTCCGTCCGACATCCGTCCGAAACAATTACTGCCAAATAAGCAATACTTGACCAAATGCAAAGACGCGTGATGCGAAACTTGTCTTTTAATTTTGTGGAATATTACTTACTCGACAGTAATTGTTTCGGACGGATGTCGGACGGACATCGAAAGTAGCCCCCCTGACTCGACCTTAGGTGGGGTACAGGTCTCGTATTTTATGCAATAAAGAAATTGAGTGCAAAAAGTCATTGCTTGCTTTTTTATTACTCCCGCGGTTTTTACTCTCTACTCGCGCTGACAGCACTTTTACATCACTAAGTCCGTTTGTGAAACAAGTCGTCGGTCTACCAGACAAGTGGTATTTGACCTTAACTAAATATACATTTATTAAATCATAAAATAGTTGACGATTTATAAAAGTAACAGTTCCAAAAGTGTACAACAATTTTATTTAACTTCAATATTTGTTTACTTAAGCTGAAACAAACTGATACGTATCAGGGAAACGATTCTAGTGATAGACCAGTGTCTAGAAGCGATGAGAAGTGGTTTACCAAAAAGCCACCAAAAATGAGGCACTTGACTAGGTTGCTCAAAGAATTGAAGACAATCGTAAAAAAAGCAATAAAGATAGCCACTGCCAAAGGTGCAAGAGTATCCCAACTACACATTTAAAAAAAACTTTGTAACGTATATTGCCATGATCTGCAGAAAAAGGTATGAAGTGACCGCAAAAAACACGGTTTTGAGTTTTGTCACAAGCGCCCTTTCAATTAACAATGGCAGTACATTTCATAGAAACTATAGTTTGTGTCACATTCGAGCGAGAATCCAACCAAGTAGAGCTCCTTGTGAAAGAGTTCATCCAGGGAAGCACTGCCACCTTACCTATTTCTGTCGCCAAGCAGTAATGTCAGCATTACTGCGTTCCGGTTTCGAAAGGTAAGAGCGCTGGTGAAATTACAGGCACTTGGGACTTGTCAATCTCAGGGGTAACAGGCGTAGTGGCAATGCCCCTAAGATCTTTGCGATTTAAAGCTCTGAATGGCACCACAACTGTTGTGGATAGGCATGTCGATAACCACCAGGCGCACGTTGTTCGTACCGTCACTTATTATAATAAAAAAATCCCGTGCTACATTATATTGATTATAAACCTAATTAACCATCGTTGTGGTGTGCAATACTGTACAAATTGTCATAACTTTTAGTTCGCATACTGGCATCGCGTAGCCCGCTCATTATCCACCAGGGTTAACCTTTTTCTAGTCATGGAACTCCTCAAAATTTCTCTCTCACTCGCTCGTCTCTCGGGTGCGAAAATTCAAGAAGATCACATGCATAATACCTATTTAACCACTACATATTGTATAGCAATTTTTATGTAAAGCCTTTTTTATAGGTTTTTGTAGGTAAAGTAAGCTCGCCATAAACCCCAGCGGCCATTACACGTCCCCTTAGGGGTCCGTGGACCACAGGTTTTGAAACCCTGTTCTGTTTTACACCTATGAAGTATATCATTATCAATTGTAAATCAAACTAGTAAACTTCCTCGACAGTTACCACTCGTACTTATCAATCATAGATTACTGACAAGTCTTGCATCTTCGAGCCGGATTCTTATTCTACAATTAGTTTTTTTTTTTTATCTAAAAACGTGACATGAGTCAAAGATTTCCATCAGACTTTAATAGAACATGAATTCTTAATCTTGGTGTAATAAGGCCACATCCACAAAGCGGCAACGAAATTTGGCGAAATGTGGGCAAATCGCTGAAAGCGATCTCATCCAGACAACCTTTGAGGCATAAGAGAACTGAACAGAGAGGTAGACGTAGTGTGCCAGTGATAAAAATTTAAATGCATTATTAAAAAGTTACATTATCGTACAGAATATATTGAAATAATAAATGACCATAATATTATATACCTACATTTATATTTATTTACATATGTAAATATACTTAAATAAACTAATATAAAAGCACGTTTTTTAAAAAAGCATGTGAAAAAAGATGCTTTTTGAACGCCCACATAAAATACAATAAATTTAAATTTGACTTACTATATACTTATACATTACGAACATACTAATTTTATGTGCTGATATCATTGACTTTTATAAGTCAATGGCTGATATACAACAGTTTCTCGAATATTAACTTCTACACAACGGTTATATCATTAATGGTGCTATCAATGTTATTAATTTATATTATCACGTCGATACTTTAGGAAACAAAGTGCGCATTTCCGCGTAGCCAATTCTATCAAAAATGCGTTATTAACGCAGACTTCGAAATTTTCGTCCTTTCTCGACGAGTCCAGACCAAGTTTTTTTTAATTTTGAAAAATTGGCAGCTATACTTAAAAATAAAACCATTGAACTAAATTTTAGTTACCCTTTCTTCCTCGAAATACCGATTGACTGAGAATTCTCGGGTACTAGCATCAGCTAGCAATGACACAAAAAATAAAACTAGATCAAAAACTTTATCTCGCATGCGACTTCAAAACATTACTTTCTCCAAACTATCATCAAGTGGTCTGAGTGTATCAACACAGAGGTATATAATACTGGACAGCGAATTCTATTGTCTATAGATGATAAGACGTAACAATTTCCAACTCATGCGAATTTAAAGTTTTGTATGTGCTGTATTTTTATAGTCATTAACGAAAGACGAAGTCAATAAAAGTTTTGGTAACATATTAGCACCGTATCCTCAAATTTGTTATATAAAAAAATATTAAGACCGCGGTGCTAGTTACAAAGAAAGTAGGAAATAGTAAAAACGTAAATTTCATTTTTACTAATAATAACTTACTGTCAATGACTATAGTGACTGTTTAAAAACGGGTGTCTTTTGCTTTGTTTATTTTATTATTTCAATTTATAAATTACAGAAATAAGTGGTACGTATAAAGCGACCTTAACTAGACATGGTTGCGAAGACGATTCCGATTAAAATGAAAATAATTATTTCCCATAACTTTTAGCAGATCACATTTTGTTCAAAGTTAATATTTAAATCATTATAAAAGTAACTTCATATCCCAACGTGACAGTAATACACAAAAAATTGTAAAAGTTAAATAATTTTTTATACTTTTTAAACGTTCCATAAATCCATTAGATTTAGTTGTACAATTTATCCAGCAAGTGTTTTATTACTGACTGACCGTTTAAGTCGATTGAATCAACACATAACTGCACCTGTGTTCTGTGCCACAAATCCTGTTGACGTAGATGGCACGTATAATGTTTTACGCAATATAGTAAAAAAGTGTAAAATGTTTTTGTTTGCTTTTTGGCTGACAGCTAGTTCTAACAACTAAAGGTGGTTTTTCCACCGGCGAGGCGAGACGAGGATTGAAATTTGTATGACAAAATTTCAATTCTCTCTTAGCGTATCTTCGTTGAAAATGGTCTGGATTGACGAGGATGGGCGAGGTGAAAATTGAAATATTTGTTGATGTAACATTGAATCGTATTGCTGCCTCTATAGAATATATTATACTCTGTAATGGAAACGCGATTTTTCGCGCGAGCTCCCTCGATCTCACGAGTCCCGGCACAGTCTTGCGCGAGCTCACGCGAGAACGCGATGGCTGTTAATATCAATCGCGAGATTGTGGGGTACGTACGATTAAAAATTAAAAAAATTATGGCTTCATCTGATTCTTCTTCTGTTAACATCACAACATATTTAATAATAATAATTCACGGGACATGTTACTTCAGCCGCGTATTAATTGGCTTCTCGCCTCTCCTCGTGTCGCCTCGCCGGTGGAAAACCACCTTAAGTTCGTTCGTGACAGACAATCGTCATTCTACCAGCCAAGTGACATCTGCTTATGTAAATATGCAGACTTCTTTTAATCGTAATTGTTGACGATTTACGAATAAATGTAAAAGTTACAAAAGTGTTAATAAATTTTATTATACTTTTAAGTTTGGAATTAAATATTTCAGGACAGACTGGTACGTATCAAGGAAATAATAATAGTGATAAATCTAGACACGATAATGAAATATTGAGACAGTTTGGTCCCAAACTTAAAAAAGTTATTAAAAATATAATACAAAAAATCAAGTCCGTGTTTAACGACGTTTGTGAAGATATCGAGAGTGGACATGTGTTAAACACACATCATGAAGGCAAGGATTACGATTTCCTTGAGAAATATGAAAAAAACCATAAAGAAAGTTTGGAACACAAGCCAGACTACGAAAATGATAACTCAGTTGACACCAAAGATTTTCAGAACCCAGACAATGAATCTAATTCACTTGAAACTAAAGACGATCCAGATTCATTACCCAGTGAAATCGATGTGCATGTTGATGGAGATGATCCGATCACTGAAGATTACGGTTATAAAAATGATCCTGAGCTCGATCCGGAAATGAAAAAACTTAAAAATAACAACGTCAAAATTAAAAAACTCAAAAATAAAAAACTTACTAATAAAAAACTTACAAATAAGAAACTTACAAATAAAAAACTTACAAATAATCTGAACATGAAAAAAGCAATAATGGCGAAAACATTTTAATTTACTTTCGTTTTAACTACTCGTAATTCTTCTGATAAGTGAGAAATTCACCATTTGCCATTTGTGGAAATTTGATTTGAATACTTTTTCTGTGCATCGTGAACAATGCAGGTTACAAAGCAGTCATAATTATCAAATTATATTAATAGGAATTATAAATTTTGTATGCTTTCCAAAATTAAACGTTACATGACCTTTGGTACTTATCGTAACACCCACCGTACTGTCACCATAGCTTGAAGTTTTAAAATCGCCCGCTCACGCGATGCGCTCCTACTACCGCAAAATGGCGGCTATTTGGTTTCGCAAATTAGAAAAGCATTCAGTTTAAATACAAGTTTTTATAAATAAAAATTATTATTCTGCATTGCTAAATAAATACCCTCCGTACTACCAACAAAAACATCTCAAATAAAATGCAGTAATACACCGCAAATCCTGCACTTAAAAAGCACTAATGAAATTTTTGGTGTACTTGGATAAATATGATAATATTCCGTTTGAGTGGTTCTAACGTTTACCATGAAATTACTCCTTAAAATATAGTTTATAAACATTTACATTCATTGTAAACTTAAAAAACGCTACTTACGGTGTGTTTTCAATAAATAAACACCGAAGTCACCAGCCCAAACAATAACACACACGATTGTCGTGGCGTATTTTTGAATTTGTTTATTTTTTTAAATGACAGACCCAGGCATTAAAAACTTTATGGTTTGCTAGAGTAGTTACCGAAATAGCAATTAATATTAGTTCTTTTACCTGTTATAACTTCGATATCCGATAAACCGGTATAAAATCATCACCGGCACCTCTAGGTGTGGTATGCGTTTACGGCTGCATGTATCGCGTGAGCGGTTAGGGAGGCTCAACCCTTTTGTCATCACCGAAGGAATAGTACTCTATCTAGGGGTTGAAAATATGAAATTCGTCGGATTTCGATAACTCCGGTTTGATGTACAAGTTTGATAAAATGTTTTAATTCTCTATTAGATCTTGATGTTATTATCTTTAATGTCATGGTAACTGAAAGGCATAGCATTAAATTTAACTTATTATTTTTAAGTAGAGTAGTATGGGTAAAAGCATTCGATGGCTTTTGCACTTTATTTTTGGTCGCAAGTGAAGTTCAAGTTTGTCCAACCATCTTGTTTGCTTCAATAATCTGTAATTTTCATTAATAAACAATGAAACCCATTTTAGAACCTTTTTCCATCAAACAAGATCATACGAAAACGTGTAGAATATAATTAAAAATGTAGTCAAAATGTAAATTATGACAAGAAACACAAATTCTGATGTACAATCACGTCAATTACTGTATTATTAAGACGCATAGTCTAGAGATTCAAGATTATTATTAGACTTTTTAGAAGGAATATGATTTGGTACGCCAATTCTGCTTAAAAGAACTGTTTATTACACAAAATGTGTGTTTCAGGCTACAAAAATTTGTCATGAAAACTGTAATTCTTTAATTCGGTACTTATGTAAATGTATTTAGAATTAAATGGCTGAGCCATCAAAGCTATTATCTTTTTTTTTAAGAAAAAACCTTAATTCGCAAAACTCAACATCACCCCAACTATACTTTGTTTTAGCGAGAATTGTATTACAAATCGTCGCGAGCTTAGAATATCTTTTTATCATGTTTAATATAAAAATAACATTCTTTTTATTTCAACTAATAGAAATGTATATACAAATGAGTGCAATAATGGAAGTATTGGGGGTTGAACATCAGTACTAGATCAATCCTCCTCATCAACTTGATACGCATTGTACTCATTGGCGTTAAAATGGTTCAATTAAAATTCCCATTTTAATTTGTAACGTATATTAGGGTTGAACCCAAAGTTACTCAAACTAGATTTGTTTTCTTACATTAAAATAACAAGTATTATTTATACTTGTTATTTTTATATAAGTTGAAAACTGTAGCGGTCGTTGTCTATATATAGTTACTTGAATCCGTAAATCTCTATGGCGTGTGCTTTGACGACCCCGATGGCTCTGTGGTGTGGCTGGATGAATACAATAGAATAGAAAAAAGTCTACTTATCAAATTATAAACAATCAACAAAATTTGAAATACTATTATGAGAGTAACTAATGTCACAGCCGAAGTTAGGCTGTGACGATGATTTTCAGTGGACTCTAAAATTTAATGAATACTGGACGTGCATGTCACGTAATATGATTAAAAATAAATACATAAATATTGTGTGACAAGGAGCTTCCGAGTTCCATATATTATCAACTTACAACATTTTTACGTTACAAATACATGTCGGAATATAACCGTTAGGAGGCATCGAGGTAAACACACTTAGCAACCACTGATTTAGGCAGAGATTAATTATTTTTTTTGTAAACCGTTACATGTGATTATTTACTCAAAAATTAAAAATTTCGCAACGTTATCATGAGTAATAATTAAACATTTAGAAACATGGAAGTGGGACACAATAGTTTGATCAATTAACAAAGTAATAAGGACTTCAAATTCAATTCATTCAGTCGACTTCAACTCACAACGAACAATACAAGTGTTCAACACAGATATTAAAGAGTGTGCACGCAATTGTTGGCTTTAACATGCATTCTTCATGTCGAAAATGATAAATAATAACAATTTTGACAGTGAAAGTGCTCCCGCGAATTTAAAGTTATGTATGTGCTTTTATACCATTGAGTATATAACCAGAAACAGAGACGAAGTAACGGCCATCCATCCTTGGAAACTCATCAGGTAAATGGGCCTTATCTCACTTTTAAATATCAACTTTCGCTTGCGCTGAAATCACAAATCAGAAAACTAAAATTGTATAACGCCAACAACTGACCTGTGTGTACGTGTCCGTATATTCCAAAAATATCCTGTATTTATTGTAATAAAGATAATATCTCTAACATTGGGGGCTGTTCCATTCGGTGGTGTGGGCAAAGCAACAAAACATCTAAATACAAATTAACCAGTTCATCGGTAATTCAATATTAAATATGTAATTTTTTTTTTCGTCCGTTACAGCAACGCTCAAGTTAAACTAGTCGATTTGAAGTGAAACAATTGACGACAGTCGTCAAGTGTTTCGAATTCGGGCTGACCAATACGAGCGCAGTTGTCACAGTATTGATTTGGCAGAATAGTTTTCAAACAAATTAAATGACATTTTGTCTCTATTTCTGGTCATATACTCGATGTTTTATACTAATTAATGAATAGTAATAGGGGTTAAAGTATGAAATTGCCAATTTGTACTGAAAATCTAAATTGTTTATTTTTTAAATTTTTAACAAATTTATTTAATCAAAATAGTTGCCATTATTATCTATACATTGCTGCCATCTAATGGGAAGGTTATTAATGCCTTTGCGATAGAACTCCGACGATCTAGACTGCACAAACTGTGTGAAAGCATTTTGTACTGCCTCCTGGGAAGAAAACTTCTTGTCACGTAGATAATTGTCCAAATCACGAAAAAAATGATAGTCCGTTGGAGCAAGGTCTGGTGAATACGGAGGATGACGAATGGTTTCTAACTGCAGTTCCTGAAGGGTCAAAATGGTTTCTCGTGCTGTGTGAGGTCTCGCGTTGTCGGGGAGCAATAATGGTGAAGATCGATTCATGAGTCGGGGCTGTTTTACTGCTAGTTTTGTCAACATGGTTCGGAGTTCGGCACAATAGACATCTGCCGTTATTGCTTGACCAGATCGGAGAAAACTATAGTGAATAACACCATGCTGAGACCACCAAACAGTTACCATTACCTTTTTATTGGTAGCTTTTGCTTTAGGACACTGTTGTGGCATTTGACCTGGGGTCAGCCATTGCATTTTTCTTTTCCGGTTATCATAAAGAATCCACTTTTCATCACATGTTACAATTCGATCCAATATTCCTTCATTTCTGTACCGGTTCAACAAGGCAACACAAGTTTCAACACGCGTTTCTTTCTGCAGATCAGTCAAATCATGAGGCACCCATTTTTCGTATTTTTTTATTTTATTGATTTGACGCAAGTGAGTCAATATTGTGGGTAAGGTAACGTTAAACCATGCCGCTAATTCCTGGGTAGTTTGACTAGGATCGGCTTCCACTATCTCTCTTAATTCATCGTTATTCACCTGTGTGGGCGGTCTTCCTCGTGGCTCGTTCTTTAAGTCGAAATTTCCATCACGAAAGCGTTTAAATCAAAATCGCACGGTGCGTTCATTAGTAGACCCCTCTCCAAACGCAGCATTGATATTGCGGGCTGTTTCTGCCGCGTTAGTTCCGCGTCGGAACTCGTATTCAAAAATCACTCGAATTTTCGCAGTATCCATCTTTCTTGTCTAAATTGAATAACAAAAACAATTGAAAGTCGATATTCAAATGTTTCAAATTTAAAAAAAAAAATCACAGAAACCATTTGAAAAAAGTTTCATTCGAAAACCTCAAACCATGAAGATTCTATGAAAATTCAAAGAACCTATTGCAATAAAACGGCAATTTCATACTTTAACCCCTAATATTTATCGCTGTACAGAGTAAATAAAAATTTTGTTGATGACAAGTCAGAGTCATATTCGCTAAATTGGAGCTCTTAAAAATAGTACCAAGACCGCAATGCTAGTGCCTTCTTACGAAAAAGTGGGATTTTTTACCCTAAATTTAATCCCTGCTAATTTTGTCAATTACTGTAGATATAATTGTTCAGAAACGACTGTACTTGACTTTGTTATATATATATATTTTATTATTTCAATTTAAAATTACAGAACTGACAGGTATGTATAAAGCAAATGATAATAAAGCCTTTATTAGATATTGTGTTGGTTAAAAAATAACTCCATGGCGTCAAGTACAAATTATGCTTAAATTATATCATTTGCTGAAAATTTTGTCAGATTTTGCTAGTCTCAAAGTAGCAGAACCATACACTAAAGTGTGTACAAATAAATTACCTATTAGTTTTATATACAATTACGAGTTCATAAAGTCTGCCAGAGTTAAATATATAAAAAGCCAGTAAATGTTTTCAATGCTAGCATGACTGGCCAAAGTTATTTGAGTTCACTGTTTTAACACACGTCAGTACCTGTGTCTGTTCCGTTCACTTGAACATAAATTCTATTACCATGAAGGACACGTTTTATATTATATTTTATGCATTAAAGAAATTGAGTGCAAAATGTCATTGTTTGCTTTTCTGGCTTGCGCTGACAGCTCTTTTGTACCACTAAATTCCTTCGTGCATCACACACGAATGGCATCTGACCTTGATTATTAACTCTTTTAATCATATTTGTTGACAATTTATAATGTAGTGGTTCCACAAATGTTCATCAATTACATTTGCTTTATTTTTTTATTTTTGAAATTAAAAATTACAGGACAGACTGCTACGTATAGAGGAAGTGATTTTAATGATAAACCAGTATTTAGACAAGGACCAGGTTTAGCGGTGGTTAAGAAGATTGGTCAGAGAATTGAAAAAGTTATTCAAAAAGTAATACAAATAGCTAAGTACATAATAAATAAAGATGATTGTGAATTGGACAATAAACAAGACGTTGTTGAATTGTGGGAGAAAAAAAATAAACAAGTACTGGATATGGCACAAGAAATATTGCCAAATATGCAAGAGGATGATAAATCTTTAAGTATAGATACTCTTACTGAACTGCTCAATTATTTAAAAGCAAATAAAAATACGACTGATTCTCTTGACAACGATGTCAAGCCTGAAGTATAGAAACGATATTTATAATTTATCTGAAATCATAAATTACTAAAAATGAATATGATAATTTAACTGCGTCATAACTTAGACCTGCTTAAACTGAAATCAGAGAAGTTCCGAATTCAGAAGTCTATCACATCTATAATTAGCCTGAAAATAACGATAATCGAATCAACCTTAAGACTGAAGATTATTTATTCCATGATATAAATATTGAGAACCCACCCGGAAATGAAAAAAACTTCAACGTAAAAAACTCAAGAATTAAAAATTAAATTCTCAAAATCCTACAGTGAACAATCTGAACATAAAAAAGGAAATATAACAAATATAGTCAAAATAACTTCTATGTTACCTGTAATTCCTTGTAAACGATTTATGACTACGAAGTACAATATATACCTGTGGAATTTCCGACTTTTTGAAATATGTATGTGTATAATTTTACTAGAACATTTAAATCTGTTACCAGCGCAAGTTTAAATCTGTTACAGTTGTAATTTTACTTTGCTGAGGTTTGAAGGTTCATCTTTTCAATTACGTTAAAATAATAAAATTTTATTATTTATTAAAATATATATCTTATTTATTAATTATTATTTAACTGCCTCCAAGGTCGAACGGTTACCATGCCGGACTGCCACGCAGAGGTCCCAGGTTCGATTCCCGGGCCGGGCGAAATATTTGTACGGCCTACATTTATTTCTCTCGTGAGTTTGGGTGTAATTTGTGGTTGTCTATGTGTGTGTCCATGGCACCCGCGACCCAGGGTTTCCCTAGTGCGGGGCTATGTTGAGTGCGTACGTTATTATTATTTGTAATGTCATATCAACTAAAGGTCACAGGATGACATTTAATATGTATTATTTCCAATAAGGTTTCATTCCGCGAGTGGGTAAAAGCATTCGACGACTTTTGCACTCCATTTTTGGTCGCTAAGTATGTTCAAGTTTGTTCCACCATTTTCTGCTTCCATAATCTGTATTTTCATTAATAAATAATTTTCACAAGTGTTGTGCGTAATTAAAATCGTTTTAGAACCTTTCTCCATCGCCATTATAAAACTAAATCACTCGAAAATATTTAGAATTAAAATATAGTCGAAATTTAAAAATAAGCCGAAAACACATATTCTCATTTACAATTATGTAGTTTATTGTATATTAAAACAAACATAATGTAGTCTAGTCTATACAAGATCGTAAAACATAATAGAGAAGCTGTTGCATTTTTAAGAAGCCGATTTTATAAAGAAAGTACTTATAGTAGGTAAGTTATTTCTACATCTAAGAAATGCTTCCTGCGCAATTGTGGAAAGGATAGCAGAAATAGGCAAATACGCAGTATTCATAAATAGCTGTAACTATTAAAATATTTAGAAACTACAGACTCACTATGTGACATTTTTTAGTGACGTCCTGCTTTCAGATATTTCATATAAAAATGACGAGATTTTTCTATTTTTATATATACAATACAGTATAAATGGATATAAAAGCGTAATAGGCTTGAATCCCTCTAATTAATCAATCCAATTATACCATAAATATTTTTCCTATATAAAAGACAGCAATAAAATATTTTAAGCCCGTGCTACATAGTTATTGATCGATAACAACCATTGTCCGGTGCAATACCGTATACTATGTCTACGCAGCATTTGTTTACGTGGTCATGCGACAGTTTGCCATAACTTACACATTTTAGTATACATACAATCAGCCATCGCGAAGTGAGCCCAATTTACATCTGTAGTTGCAAGTCAAATTAATAAACTTTCATGACAGTTCATGTCATTATCACAATAAAAACACAAACTGTATGTAACATCAGAAACTACATATATATTTTTAAGGTCCTTCGAGCAAGATTGCACCGCATAATCTTGTTTTTTGCAATCTAAAAACTATAACCTAAATCGCGTGACATGATTTAAAGCTGTCGCGTAGAAATTGTAGCACGAATGAAGTATACTTATATTATTTTAATTATATTTACGTTAAATTACTGCAAGGCAATTTTTTTGAAGGTAAAAATTTAAGTCATAGTCCGTCAAGCCGTTGATTAGTTAGTTGGAGACTTCCCACGTGTCCAAGACTTGTCAATCTTCTTCAACGTGCAGGTTTCATATCAATATTTTCGTTTACCGGTAGCGCGAGGTGTTGCTACTAAATATTTACAAACATACGTTATTTAGAATTAATAACATTATTATGTTTTATTAAATGACTTAATAACTAAATTCTCTACCAACTGCTTACATAAAATAATACAATGTTTAAACATAACTTTCGTAGTCATATTGTAAAATGTTATATTTCTCAATCTTGTCTCAATCACTCATCAATTGCAAATAATTTGTGGCCTTTATAATTTCCCTGTGGAACTCCCTTTGGATTCGGTTTATATAGTATGTAGGTACCTAAGCTATTTATATTTAGTTTACTCTCGAATGTTAAAAATATGCACAATACATAACTTCTTTATGTATATCGATCGAAATAGCACCGATTATCTAATTAAGGCTAACGAGTATTAATGATCTACAAAATCAAAAGCTACCGTTGAATCGATAGGCCTTACGAACAGATCAATAACTCAAGAAACGTCGGTTTGTTTGAAAAAACAAATATACGCGATTTCAATCCGGAAAAACAGTAAAATAAAAAGTATTTCTTTTTCATTATAATGTCAGTTTAGGAGTTTAGAATTTTCAATGTGTATACATATAAATACTTTAATGAACATTTACTAAACTTAGTAGATTGTCAATGTACACAAATTATAAGAGGGTGGAATGTAAGCTGAAGCGTTACGGCTGCGAATTCTGTTGCGAATGAAATGACTGTTGTATTTGGAAATTCTCCATGGCCAAGTTGGGCTACCAGTTGTACAATAACAGCCATATATATGAAGTTTCATACCTGTTATGATGAAGGTACAGAGAGTCTATAAAATTGTGCAAAATCATAATATTTTTTAACTTTATATACATTGATAAATTTGTATAAGAAAATAAAAACTTCGAAACACTTATCTCAATCTACCACTACTGGCAAAGTTTCTTTTTTGTGAAAATGATTTCCTTTTTCTCGAGCTCGCTAATTATAAGAATACAAAGAAGTAGTGCACAACAAGATTATCACACATTTTTAATAAATTATTGTACGTGATATTCAGATTCAAGAAAACATGAAAGTGGGTACAAACAGTATATAACAATTGGATTATTGACATACCTCGTGCCATCTCTTCAATGGTGCTACCAAGTTCTTCGATATAAACAATTTTTATCATTTACTCCGAATTTAGGCAAAAAGTATCACAAAACATTACTCTAAATTTAATCCCTGTATTATAATAATTGTTAATGACCATAAATGAGACTGTTCAAAAACAATTCTACTTGACTTAGTTCTTTGTGTCAATATTTTATTATTCCAATTTAAAAATTACAGGACTGCCTGGTATGTATAATGGAAATGATAGTAATGCCTTTATAGACATGTTATACCTATAGAACAATTAAACAGATATTTTATCTGATAAATAGAATAAATTTTATTGTTCCAAAGTAGCAGTGTCATGGAAACATAAATTACACCGCTGCATTTCATAAATAGTGGCCAAATTGAAAATTGATCCTTTTTTTATTTATTACTGACATTTATTCGATAAATGCGAAATTTTATTGTGGTTGGGTTCCAAGATTTCCATTGATTAGAATAATCACATGACAATATTGGATTGGTCTACGATTAGTCTATTTTGGGCAGCAGACGTTACAAGTCATTTTTCTGAAGAATTCGATGCTTTTGAGATAGGCCTCTATTCTCGAAAGCCGTCGATGTTTTTTTAGGTATTCCATAAATCCACCATGTTTTTTCAATATTATCATGACTACACAAAGTTATTAGAGTTGACTGTATCAACTGCCCCTATATTTGTTCACTGTCTGTTCACATTACTTTTATTGGCATACAGGACACGCACAATACTTGAATAAAGAAATCTAGTGCAAAATGTCTTTATTTACTTCTCTGACTGTGGAAATTACTCGTGCAAATTTTAGGATCTACTTGCGCTGTTAGCTATTAGTTCTTATTTACTTCGCACGTGTTTCGTAACAGATAAGTAGGATCTAGTCTTAAATTGAAATCCTTATAATTACGATTGTTGGCGATTTATAAATGTGATCGTTTAAAAACTTGTTTAACAGTTGTTTCATTTTTTACTTTAATTAAACAATTGCAGAACGGACTGGTATGTATAAAGGAAATGATAATGGTGCTAAATCTATAATTAGAGGAGGTATTCAATGGGGGAACATTGGTCAGAAATTTCGACACGTTATTAAAAAAATAGTAGATACAGCTAACTACATATTTTCCGAGGAAGGAGGAGCTTGTGAGGAGACCCGTAAAGAAGATGTTCTTGATAAGTGGGAAAAAACAAACAAAAAGATCATTGAAAACGAAAGACGTGAAAAGAGTGAAGATGATCTGATCATACCCGACAATTATTCTGACAACGGAGATGACGACGAAGATATAACTGTAATAAAAAATATTCCCGATTCTCCTGATTTTAATGATGATATGAACACGGCACTTGACGACGATGACGATTTCTCGGTTCCACCACAGGACGACAAAGATGTAGGTATAATTAAACATATTGATGTTAAATATGATCCTCATGGACTACACATAGGCGGACGTCCACATAACAAAGATGTTCCAAATCCGTACACTAACTATTATGATAGATATAAAAATCAATATTATGGACAACAACGAAAGTGTCCCTACTCTCGACATCAGAGAGCTTTCGAAGTTTGCAAAAATCCAGATGCGAAAAGACTTAGATTTAGAAACGCCACAAGTAAAAGACTTTTAATGAAAAAAATGAAGCAGAGCAAACTTAAAGCGCGAAATTCCGCAGCGAACAAATTGAAATGAAGACAAAAAAATATGAAAAAATTAACGTGCTAATTACTGGTATCTTTGACAGGCAAGTTGAAATTTCAACCTGCCAATATTAAAACAATAATAATTATTTACGACACTGGAAAGGTAAAATGTCTAATGTGCATTTGGAAAGAAACTAAAAAGGTTCAGCTTTTCAATTTAAGAAATAAAATTGTGTTATATTTCCTTTTTGTAATACAACATACTGATAAAAAAAATCACTGTCAATATCAATAAAGTTATCTCTTCTTCGAAATGTCAATTTTCTCTCGCAGACAAAAGTTATCTCTTCTTGGAACTGTCATCGAAGAAGAGATACCTTTTGTCTTCAGGCTCATGCTAAGCCTGCTGATTTCACTCCAAGTGATTTTGTTGTGGAACGAAGTTAAACGTCGAGTGTAATGTGAACGAAATCAAAGCCGTGACGAACATAAGTCATCCATTATTGGTGCATTTGACGCGTTAAAAAGTGATCGTGCAGTGCGGCGGAAATTACGGAGGAATATTATTAAACGCGCTAGACTGTGTATACAGCGTAATGGACTACATTTTGAGCAATTATTGAAGCATTGCTGACTGCATTAAGTGAGTTTTTGATTTTTTATTTTTTTTTGTTCTCGCACTCTTTGAGGGAGGCCTATGTTCAGCATTGCAGCAGATAAGGACGATGATTACGATAGATAATTTAGATAGAATTGTACATAAGTTGATTGCAAATTTTTAAATACGCCTGATTATAGTAGTAGTACCAACTTGTGATGTAACAATTTCCTCCAGTTTTAACAAAAACTTCTGTATTTTGACGGTGCTAAGGTCGTAGAAAGTGTGAAGTTTCAATTGCAAGTAAATGAATTAAAATACCAAACAACTACAGCAATTAAATTACCTGGTTCTATCGGGCATCGAATCTGAGGCCTCATCATCGAGCGCACAGAGCTAGCCGTTCGGCTACCGAGGTCGACAATACATAAACTCGCGTGCTGATTCCACCCACTGTTTGCCACTGTTTGTTGCTTTAGCAACGGCGTCTATTATTGTCGGGTGTCAATATTATTTACAATTTACCGGAAAACTTTGAGACGTTTTAATTTATTTATTTGTCAAGTATTTGAAAAAAAAAACAAAAACGAATTTTTGTTTCCATTATACAGTATGCTCCTTTAAAATGGACAGTGGTTTTTTTATCACCATATATTCTAAATGCACGTTATACACTTTAGGTACCTTTCCAGTGTCGATATTATATTTGCAGACTATATTATATTAAAAGGAATTAAAATTTTTTTCGTAAAGGGGTTTATCTGTTTTTATCACCCGAAAATTAGAGAGTCAAATTTTTGGAGCGAAAACACATTAATGTAATTATTTTTAGCGTCTATTAATTGAACCTGAATTCACATTGTGTATTTTTAATTAGGTCTCTTTTTAGGACTTTTGCACTCCATTTTTGGTCGCTAAGTGAATTTCAAGTTTGTTCTACCATTTTATTAACTTCAATATGTATTTTCATTAATAAATAATTTCCACAAAAATCGAGCAGTTTTTATAAGGTTTTTATAAACATTTCTCCATCGCCATTAGAAAAACTAAATAATCCGAAACTGTTTCGAAATAAAATTCAATTATTCTGATTTACAATCAGGACACGTATTGTGTTACTAACATAGCCGATTAACATATCGATTCAAGATTGCAAAATATATCTTCTCGCATTTTTGAGACGCTGACTTTATAAAAGGAAATATGATGTGGTGAGTAATTTGTCCCTTTAACCACTTTTTATTGGATGACATTGTTTCTCGAACTCGAATCAAACGTAATAAAATATGCAGTTAGGACGCGTTACCACTATGTCGTGACGACAGATTGTCGTGCAGTTTACAGGGTTGTGGCTTGATTTAAATGAAGTTGTTCAGAAGTAGTACGACACGATTAACTGACGTTCACGATTTTTTATCGTTACAATGACAAACTGTCGTCACAGTGGGAACAGCTAGAACGACAGTCGTCAGACGATAAAAAAACGTCACGATAAAAACGTGACGACGGATTGTCGCAGCTCTTATTCTCATCACGTCTTATTTTATACGTCGCGTTATATTTTCTTTTCTTTGTTTGCTTCCTCTTCCGCATTTTTAAAAAGTAATACATTATTAAAATTTCGTCTTCGTCTATTTCGAGCGAACACACCGGCTTCCAAAAGAACATACAGTGCATCAAACGATTCTGTTGTGCAAACGACAAGGAGGTTGTCGTGACACGATAAATTGTCGTCACGATCTAGTGGGAACAGCTAGTCACGACAGTTGTTCAACGATAAAAAATCGTCCACGACAGATAGTCGTGATATGGGAACAGGCTAGCCACGACAGTCGTCCAACGATAATAAAATGTGACGACATAGTGAAAACGCGCCCTGAGAGTCGTATTCCAGAACTCTACTCAATGGTCAAGTCAGGATCTGAGTATGATTTCAAGCACTGGAAATACGACCCTAATGGCAAGGACTTGAATATGATTTTCAGTACTCACTGCAGTACTCTAGTCCTGACTTGAGTACTGAGTAGAGTTCTGGAATACGACCCTTTGTCTTGAATAACTACAATTGCAGAGATAGATACATCCGATAACATACGTAAGAAATATATAATCGTAAAATAGAAAAATTATTTTCATTAATTTTTTACTTAAATATTATAAGGGTAAATAAGCTTATTCCATATACAGGCTGTATATTTGAAAGTGGGACATACTTATAGAGTGCGTTATATTCCTGATTCTCAACCCAAAGAAATAATAAACTAATGAACTTAAAGTTTACAAAAAATATTTTTTAATTTTTTTTTATCGACTACTACTTGAGCACAACATTAGTTATCGAAATCTATGCACATCACTATTATTGCTCCGACGCAGCGGCGAAAAGGAAAGCACAGGTCGGGGGTGAGAACGCGGGCGCATAACCGAAATTGCTCAGTCCACGCCACGCGCGACCTTGATCTAACGAAGACACGTAAATTATTTGTCCTTCCGCTCGCCCGATCGCCGCAAAATGGGTATTTATTCTAACGTGGAATTGACTGAGATGGTGCGACTTTACGCAATAAGTGGTCATAGTGTGAGGCAAGCTATTGAAATGTTCCCAAATCGGAGTTTACGCGGAGGAGGTGAACAGGGTTTCGACACTGTTGCGTTGCGTGAGAGGATTATCTCAGCATTTTATACTGTGAGACAAAATGTGTTTGTGTTGTACAATTTAAAACAAAATTTACTATGCCGTGCTAGACTATGCATTGTGGAAAACGGTGGACATTTTGAACACTTGCTCCGTACCACGTAAGTGTAAATAAACTGTAAATAACTAAAAAATCAATCATTGTAATTAATTTGATTTTACATTTTTAACTACGCCAAAAACCTCAATTCTTATTAAATGATAACTACTTACTAAAACATTTCGATGATAGTTCAAGTAAAAAACAATTAACATAACCTAAAACGTAAATGTGAAATCATTGTTATTGTTGCTATCTCACTCGGCGCTCGCTTGGTAGCATTCCCATTGCACTCGAAATTTAAGCGTAAAGGGAATCGGTTTATTCCTATCTACACTTCAAAACACATTTGTTGATTTATTTTTTGTTCTATCCCATATCCTAATTTTATTTTAGTCTATGTTAAGTTGTAACATGATTTACTATGACATGTCTGAATATGTCTCACTTTCAAATATACAGCCTGTATATTCATTTAAAAGTTTGTTCATTGATATTATTTTCCGAAATGTTACTGTGTAGATGGCGTATCGGAGTTCATTGTGATTGGTCCGAACATTTTATCTACCGGTTCAACTAGCCAATGACATTGCTTTTAAAATTCCCTACTTGAGAAAAAATGGCGGGAATTGAAAAGAAGGGATTTAGACATTGACCTGCCAATACAATTTAAAAGTCAATGTCTATAACTAAAAGAAAAAATTATGTATTCGTATTTGATCAAATGTTGAAGTTAGATTGGTCAGGAATTATAACGATATTTTGTGGTTAGTAATTTTGTTGAGTATATTTTAAGGTTGTAATGTAAATTGTTGGAGAAATGGATAATTTAATAAATCAGTTTGGTTAATACGGCGTTTTATTGAAGTGCTTGGAGAAGTCTACACATAATAATGTGATATTATCCGAATGCAAAGTACATCGTATATGAATCTATACATAAAGAATTATAAAACATTTAAAAGAAAGCCTAAGAAAAAATCTAATGATTGGAATAACCTACTAACCTACACAATACAGAATTCATAAACTACGATAAAATTAACAATACCAGAGTCAAAACAGATACAAAAAGAAAATCTTCAAAATAAAAACAATCTCAAAATAATACAATTGATATTAAGAAACTTAAAAATAAAATTAAAGCCTAAAATAATGCGAAAATTAAAAGTGTAAAAACCAAATAAATATCAAAATGCACCATGCAAAATAGGCATCTAGACTTCGGGTGGCGCGCCATTACAGTATCTCTTAGTTGGTGTTGTGATCATTACCTACACTATAATACATCGAGATTATGATAGTATACCATCACAAATGTCAAAATTTTGTTAAAACAACATTGTCAGACATCCACACTAATTACCTGGTCTCAAACTGGGGAACTCCGTGTACTATGAGTACCGGAGCAATGGAATTTACTCTGGGGCACTTTCCAAAGCACCCAGATCAGAACCAATGTTGAAAAATTAATCACCCCACATTTATTCTACCTGAAATCGAACACGGGTTTAGTTGACCTAGGCCACATACCACATATAGGCCCACCAGGTCGTCAAAAAATTACTTCTTAGAATTTTGACCTCGAATTTTTTTTTGTAAGCAACGTTGGAAAGTATTGTAAATTAATACGCTTCTACAATCTTTGGAAGCTAAATTTTTTTTCGGTAGACTAGTGGGGAACGAAATCCCGCAGCCCCGGAACTCATTTTCAACTGTTTCACAGGGACTAAAACTTGTTTTCCTTGTAGATAATGACCTAAATTACAGTCAAATGGTAACTTATGGCGCATTTACAGGTCAGACGACAGTCACTTGCCCGCGGAAAGTGGCAAACTACCCGGTGTAAATAATGAGTCGTTTAACGACCGCGGTCGCAGGCGGCTGGCCGCACGCGATTCCTATTTACTCAAATAAATTATATGAAGAGACCAGGGAAAGAATGACCAATCAAAATTCGTTTTTAGTACCGCCATGCAGTTTAATAAACGCTGAGCGTAATTTGCCTAAATCAGAAAGAGGCTAATAAGGTTCAATGTCCTGAATAATTAGTTTTTACTTTTAATCATAAAAATACTTGACTAAATGGTACTTGACTAAATAGTAAATGGTACAAAAGTTAAAAAAGATTTAAAAATATTTTGTTAAAATGGATTACGTAGCCTTACATACATTTATGTCAGCATTGACATTGTTTGAAGTAGTATTAATTTGTGCGTGTCTTTTTCACCAATATTCAAGTTTGTTAAAATTACGAATTATTTTTTCCTAAAATTCTCCTGATGTGACTTTGATCGTTCTTTCCCTGACCTCTTCATATACCATATCCTTGGTGGAAAACGCGTGTAAGCGAAGACGGCAACCGACTTGGCGTAAACCCTGCCGCCGAGCCGCCGACTACGTCGCCTTCGGCAATCGGCAAGGCGAAGTGGCCTGCCGAATGCGGTAGACATCCCGGTGTAAATGCGCTATTAGGGGTGCCTTCAAATTAGACGGATGCAGAAGCGCTGCAGTGTCGCGTCTGTGTTACTGCAGCCGAGCACTGCAAATTTTCATACAATATCTAGTGTGCACAAGTGGCGCGCGCGTGGCCACAATATTTAGATATTGTCTTATTTGAAGACATTAGTACAATAAATAAAACGAATATTTTATTTTTTTAAAACAAAGCATTTTTATTGTAATATTTTTTATCGATAACTTCATCGTATGTTGGTACAAAATGATCGGGGCGGGACTACAAAAATAAACATCTCAATAAATATATGATATACATAACGTAAGGACGATGAAAGACGAAAAAAGGTTCAAACATATAACACCTTTTTATTTATTTACGCTTTTATCATTACAATACCGACACTTTATTTGGTACGTGTTTTACACTCACCGGCACATTTAACGGAACAAAGCGAGGATATCAAATAGTAACATGAACATATTTATAAATAAAATTTAGACACATATTTTAACATCGATTGAGTAGTCTTATCCAACCTTCATTGAAAAAAGGCGAAATTAAACAAAATCCCTTATTTAGATATTATGACAAAGCAGAAACAACTGACAAAAAGGATAATAGTTTAACATTGATTAAATCAAAGTTTAATAAATAAAAAACTTGTTCAACAAGAACGCAATAGGAAATTAAAAAGTAAAATAACCAACCACACTTTCGAAAAACACTGCATTATTTTGGGGATCTTTTATTGTTCCGCTAAATGTGCCAATGTGTGCAGTAATCATTGATCCTATTTGTGTTTATAGGGCTTGCATGTCACAGTTTGTGGTGTGATTCTGGATTGTAGCCTACTTTAATATTATAAGGTTCATCTTTTTTTGTCTGAAGGAAATGGAACCCTGTACTTTAGTTGAAAGTGTAGTAGGCGTACACATTTTTTATTACTTTATTATATAAAATTCCTCGATTCATAAGTTTGGTAATACGGTTTTCATTATCTATGTAATTACTTTTAAAGTCATACTAAGTGAAAGTCAAATAACTAAATTTATAATGTTTATTGTTTATTAGGTTTCATTCCGCTGGTGGGTAAAAGCGTCCGAAGACTTATGGACTCCGTTTTTGGTCGCTAAATGAAGTTCAAGTTTGTTCCACCATTTTCTTGCTTCAATGATCTGTATTTTCATAAATAAATAATTTCCACAACTGTCGTGCATAATTAAATCATTTTGGAACCTTTTCCCATCGTCATTACAAAACTAAACCATCCGAAGATGTCTCGAAATAAAAAATATAGTCAAAATATAAAAATAAGAGAGAAAACACTTATTCTGATTTACAATCAGGGGACTTATTGTATACTATTACAAACATAGTCTAGCGATACAAGATTGTGAAATATAGCTCCTTAGAGGTGCTGTTGCATTTTTAAGAAGCCGACTTTTGACTAAAACCTAGCGCTGCAACTGTCCTGAATAGGGGACTTTAGAATCAACGGCTTAACGGTGGCAACCGTTAGTTGTGCAATGCACAGCGGAAAGAGAGTTCCAACAGCTATCTAGACTCCGCTACCTATCTAGACAATACGATGGGTACTATACGTGCACCCGGGGCTGCTCACCCGAGAACCGGATGAAATCTGTGTAAATTGGCTGATCTGTGCTAAGAATGTGACTTAAAAGGTCCCTGTGCAGGCTTGCTTGCACAGGTTATAGTACCCTTCTCGTATACCCTTAGGGTAGATACGGAGGGCCACTGTAAACAAAACTTATGTAGCAACGTACGGGAATGTCCTGAAGAGGAGCAGCAGATGTTTACTTAGAATCTTAAGTGTAGTTGGGTTTTATACTTTTGTTTATATTGGAAGCAATAGAGATTTATTAGACTTATTTATTATTAAAAGAATGTGCGATAGGCAAGTAATTTATTAATTGCTGACCTTCTTATTTGGCAACTGTGTTTAGGACTTACGCTATATGTCGAAAAAAATGTGATAGTCGCAAAAAAACTAGAACTACATAAATTCAATTGGACATTATTAACCTAAGCCAAAAACTGCAACAGCACCCCAAGTACATTTTGTAGAAACTAGCAAGCACACTTTGTGTCATGTTCTAGCGAGTGTTCGATCTAGAAATCGTCCTAGACTAATTGAACCGGCTTGGAATGTCCTGTTTTTACATATTTAATATAAAAAATGATGTGATTTTTATTATTTTATTAATAAAAATTTATATACAAATGCGTATAACCCTGGTATTATTGGGGGTTGAACATCACTGGTACTAAATTGATAATCCAGACAAATTGATAATCAGGATTCCTATACAGGATGTGAAAAGTAGTAAAGCGTATTGATACTTTTCTTGAGTAATAATTTTATAGAAATTCAAACCAGGAACGGTTATTGTCTTCAGAGTTATTTCATTTGTATATTAATCCTCATAACGATTGTGCTATTTAAAATGCTGCCTGGCCTTAAAATAGTATGATATTAAGATCAATCGAAAAAAATCAAATTAAATAAAGCACAACATGTTTTTTTAAGCCCAATTTGATTTTCTTAATGCCAAAGAAACAAGACTTTTATTTTTAAGGAAAAAACGTACAATAACGGGCACTAACACGTTTGTGTAATTCCGGTGTAACACTAACCCTAAAGTATAGCACCTAGGTGGTGAAAATTTAGCAACACGACATTAAAATTTCTTTTTTAACAACGTACATTAGTTTTTTTGCGAATCTGTAATTGTCTACCTCCCTAAAACCTTTTTTATTGTTGCCTATAACGGCGTCACATTTAAATTAATCGCCAAGTGACGTCATACTGAATAAAAAGGGTTTTCATATTCATTTAAGGAGGTTACAATTGAAGCAATAAAATCTTTTAGTCCCGTGCTACATTGTATTGATTGAGAATTTAAATAATAATTGCTTTTCTTTTTTAATCTAAGAACGGTGGTCTAAATCGTGTGACATGATTTAAAGCTATTCCGTAGAAATTGTAACATGAATTATATTTTATTACACGAACACTTGATTATTTATTTTTATTTTTTAACTATGGCAACATTAATCGTACTACAAAGCCGGAAGGTTCACTTGCCTTAGCCTAAGCTTAATTAAAAAAAACTTTGAAAAATGCTGTAATGTCAACTTACAATATTTTTTACATTACAATATATAAAAATTGCATTCCTTAACTTTTAAAATAAAGGTGCGTTCTGACGTCACAACATCAAATATAATAAATTGAATAATTAACTCGTAATATTAATTAATAATAAACGTTTAATTAAATAACTTAATAATAATATTCGCAGTGATGTGCTTACAACTACTTGTATGTACCTCGATATACATACAATGTTTATACATGACTTTCGCCGCCATGCTGTAATGTTGTATACTTCTATTCTTTTCATAAGTTTAAATATATGTTCCATATAACTAGCAACTCTATTTCACTCATAAATTGTAAATATTGAGGGATTCAATTAGTTCCCCTGTGGAACTCACTGCGATTGCAATGAAATGTTTGTTTAATGTATTTTATAGTTTATTATTTTATGTGATTAATATATGTGATACACAGCTCCTTTATGTTTTTCGGTCTAAATAGCACAGATCGTCTAATGAAAACTAACGAGAATCGATGATCTACAAAATCAAAAGCTACCATTGAATAACTAATAAATAAACAAATGTTCATAAGAATTTTCATACCTTCCGTTTTGCATTATGCAAGGTGATAAAATAAAAACTACCACCACCCTCGTTTGAAAGCGTCTAAGACATGTCACTAGATCAAATTACGAAAGTAATTGTATATTGACAATTTAAGACGTTTTCAAATGTGGTCTTCAATCAGACATACATTGCGCGATATATAAACATTAAGATGTATATTAAACGTAACAGACAGTCAATGTATACAAATTACAAGATAGCGGATGGTGTGATGCCGCGTTACGGCTGCGTGCTCTGTTGTTGGATTTCGATCTTCTCCACTGTCATGTCTGGGTTCATCGCAGTGGCTTCCTGTAATACAACAATAAGCATATATTAGAAATTTGGTGCTACTTATGCAAAATATACAACTTGTGTAGAAGATAACAACTTTTGTAAACAGGCATTATAATTCTTTATCAGGAACTCCTGGGTTCATCTCCTAATACACTAAAACAGAAATATTTGTTTCCTAATTGGTTCATGTCTAATAAGTAGTCTGGGTAGTGTCCCTGAATAAATTTTGTGTCTCTAATTGTTACAGTGGCATATAAGTTTCTACATTATAGTTTGGTATTTAGTGATAACGTCTGAAACATCATTATTATAATTTTATATGAACATCTGTTAAAGTTGAAAAAACAAAATTGTTCATTTTAAAATATTGATTAAGTCTCATGAGTTTTAGCGTTGGTTTCTTCAACCACCTGAGTTCAACCCATCGATTTCTGTTAATACCCAAATGCGTCAAAATAAAGACATTTTATGAATATATACAAGAATAAGACCTATTCTATTTTTACAAGACATTTAATGTTTTGTTTGTGTATGTTTGTTTTGTTAAAGGTTTGTTTTTTTCTATTATAGAAGTACTTTTGTAGTAGCAGATTTTTAATCTAATAAAGTTGGGCGTTAATAAAACTGCAAACAGGAGAAAAATTATCCCTCCTTTCGTCAATTTTTCAAGAGTTCAAATTTTCTGAACTGAGACAAATAGAGACGTGCCTGTATGGCCTCGGCGAGGGCGCGATCGTGGTCGATGGGGTCCCCGTCTGACTGGATTGTGATCTTCTGCTCGACACGCGTTTCAATCACGCCGTTGCGCTCCGTTTTGTACTGCACACACAGTAAGACTTTAATAAAATGGCACACTCCTAACGTAGTATGAAATATACTTACGAAAAATCGAAAACTGAACAAGATTAATGTTAAATGAGGTAATCTTGTCTAATCTTCTTGTCGTAGTAATTTCTTAAATGAAGGTAGAATCGCTCCGAAACAAAGTTAGAAAGTGTCATGCTCTAGTTAGTTATATTCAGTATATCGTGCAGGATTATACGTCCATTATACGTCCTGTTGCTGAGCACGGGTCTCCTCGAAGGAGATCGTTACGGCCATAGGCTAGCCCACGTCAGTTGGGGACTTCACATGTTTTTGCAAAACCCTTCCAAGGGGTCTACTATGAGCTTATAAGCAGCCAGGCAAGTTCCATGCAATTCACTTGACGTGGTAAAACTGTATTGCTTAAATTCGTATCATGACCTACACAAAGTTGAACGGGAATGGCATGACAGGTTTTAAACATTAATTATTGTCTCTGGCTGGCTAGCTGACATCTAACAAGAGCGAGATGGAACTACATACTTAATCATATGAAAGAAATAGACAGATCTACTATTCTGGGAGCGTTCAAGCACAATTAACCGGTTGTGTTCAAAATGAGAATAATTATGTTTTTTTTTATTAATTTTATCATTAATTATACTTACTATGTTGTTTTGTAATATCGGCAACTTTTCAATCATATTTTACAATTTGTCGTACGACAAAATTACATGTCAGGTCTAGTCATTATCATTGAAATTAATAAGGTGAGTTTGTAATTTGATAACATGATTGGAACGTATCTTGAATTCGTACGTCGCATTAAAGTCAAACTTGGCACTATTTAAAAGTTGCTTTACGATTTTCGGTCAATAAAATTATTAAAATTCCATTTAAAAAGTGCAATAACATTCATGCCAATAATTTATCAACAATACTTTAAAGATTAGAAACTTGAACTAAAATTTTCAAAAACCTAGTGTTTATTTATTGACAATCGGCTATATAGTTTATAAAGATAACAAATAAATGAAGCTGAAAATATAATCAAACTTAAACGAAATTTCTTAAAATATAACAAAATGTAAAGAAGTTAGCCACGGAGTAACTTTTTTTGAATTGCTTATTTTTATAGATGAGACCGCCATTTGCATGGCAAATGGCACATCATGATACGATTTCGCTATGAAAGAAAAGGTGAACGGTTTCCGAATGGGGAACGTAAACTGCATGGACAGTGAATTGTTTTTGTGAGGTCAAAGTATAAATTTGACAGGCAATCCAACTTACAGGCTTAAATAGGATTGCTCTAAGAGCTCATAGTAGGCCCCCAGGTATTGCAGGTTTAATCATTATGTTTTCTGTCACCGTTAGTGAAAGGTATTACATTGCAAACATTCACAAATGTATGTTGGCAATGTTAACTTAGAAACTAAAGCCGAAAGTAGATGCTGCTATAGAGAATTGTACGCTGACTCCTAAATTACATAAATAAATATAAAGAATGCAATTCTGGTTGAGAAGCATATTATATGCTATTAAAACGTGGCAATCCTACCGTGATAGTCTCGACAGTGCGCGTTTTGGAGCTGATAGTCTGCGAGGAGACCACCTCGCCGTCTGGCGGCGCTTCGCCCTCTTCGGGCACTACCTCCGGCTGCGGGCCTGTGCTTGTCTGGAGAAATAACAATTGCAAGTTAGGATGCTACAAAACCTTATAATAATATAAATTACAAACCCAGATTTCTTTTATCAATGTAAGACTAAAATATGACTACGACCCCACAAAATATCTTTTTTTTTATAATATCAAGTGACGGGACGAACAAGTCTTGCGCCTGATGATAAGCAACACGCCTGTCCATAACAATTGCAGTGCCACTCAGGGCTTTAAATCGCAAAGATCAGAGGGGCATTGCCACTGCGCTTGTCACCCTGAGACATAAGTTGACAAGTCTCACGTGCCTGTAATTTCACCAGCACCCTTACCCCTCAAAACCGGAACACAATAATGCTGACATTACTGCTCGGCGGCAGAAATAGGTAAGGTGGCAGTACTTCCGTGGACGAACTCTTTAACAAGGAGCTCTACTGCTACTGATTCCCTTACTCTGATCAGATCTTACCGTATTCTCAATCCGAAAGATGCTACTTTAGACTTTAGATGGATTTTCGCATAGAGAATAATAATATCTTGCTCTATATGTCGCTCTCGTGCAAGTCGCGCCCTGTCGTGCTAGCCCTACTGAATAGAATGTGACCTTTTTCTTGAATGGACGTGACTAATAATTGTGGATGTACTCACTCTGGCAGTAGCCCCATGGACCATAGTGCCGAAGGGCGCGTTGCCCATGACGGTGCTCGTTGTTGTCGTGCGATACGAGCCCGGTTCCTGGAAAGTCATCTTTGTTAATATATTTTTAGACGCTTTAAATTTTGTTACACAATGTTATTATACTTTGTAATTATAACGTGCTTATAAAAGCAGAGCATAGCCGTGTGGTTTTCTTAGATACCATTTACAAGACCTAGACTTGGTAATTGATTTGATTTCCAAGGTTCAACAGACGCCTTATGGATATTATAACTAGTTTAATTAAAGTCCTTTCAGAGTTAATGGACATTTTAAAATAAATAAAACAATAGCAATCGAATTTGTACATACCTGATTCAAATACAAAGCTCATAAAATGCAAAATCGGCATTACAGCAAAAAGAAGAAAAATATACTAGGGCACGTAAGATGATCCAGTCAAATTTCATGCTACGAAAATGCAAAGTGCATGCTAACACAAACACGATTGAAACGACAAGTAATAGAATATCCTAGTAATTTTTACTCACTCTTCGTGTACTGTTTCTCTAACTTATTTGGTGGAGAACGCTCTTGGTTTTCGATAACAGTTCAACTAGATTATTATAATGTAGCATTGTCGTTGATTTTTGGTTTATTTAATGTACTTTTTACAAGCCATGGGAAGATACAAAGGATTACAACATCAATAGCGTAATCTCAAAGATCACGAATAATTACGAACGCTATTTTTCGTGTTTATAAGTTAGTATACTTTTACTAAAGTCAAAGGCCAAACTCATAGACGTTACATTATGGCTAACCCTTTTTTTTATTAACTGATAACAATTACGACAAATGCAATATTTATCACAATTGAACTATCATCTTAGAGAACATAGGCCATACTAACCGTCGTATAATAATGTCCTTCACCGGCGCCTTCTTCGAAATCGATCGGTGTACCAGAATCTCCACTACTCAGCGAACTTTCTGAGCCGCGTCTAGTAAGCTGATCACCGTGATGGTTAGATGATGACCAAGTTTAGTTCCAGTGATTAAGTCAGCCATAGGATCAAGTTTGACACCAAAAGAATTATTTGGCAAGTGACCAGGATTGTCCAAGTGATAAATTGGATTTGAAGATATTTGGTCGAAGGATTTGCCAAATAATCACATAGATCGAATGATGGTCAGGTTATAATTCAACTCAGGTTAACACGTCATACATATGATAATGTTGAAGTGTCATTTCGTCCATGTTTGGTTTTGGCCGTGCGTCAATGGTATAGTGTGGTGAATAGATGAGGCCAAAATGTTATGTACCATCAGTCGTTTTATTAAAACCACAGTTCAATTTAAGTTTGCCAATATTTGTCCAATTCATGGTTGGATATAGTTTCATTTCATGCGTTTCAAGCACAAGTGGTTCCATAATTTCATGTCCAGTTTTGATGTCGATTTTGGAATGGAAAGAAAATAAAAAAAAAAAAGAAAATTAGAACACAATCAGTCATGCAAATGGGTGACAGCTTTTTCTTAAAACTAAGCAAGAAAATCATATTAAATCACTTCTACTAGAAGACATGAAGCGCATGAATTTAAAAAAAAACTGTCACTTAAAAAGGTAATAGAAAACAAAATGAATTAATAATCCAATGGAATGAACCAATAAAAGAACCGAAAACAAGGAAAAATCAAACTAGATGCCATGCTAAATGATCATGATATTGCAACATTTTGGCATATTCTTGCGTCCTATTTAAATAGGTCTGAATGTTACCTGATCGCCTGTTGTCACTGTCGTTTTCACTTGTTGTGTGAGAACTCGTTGTTCTTGTCTTGTAGCTGACGACGTCAATGTGTGAGCAACAGTTTTTTCCTCCATTTGCTGGGTCTTGGCTTTCGTGTCAAGGTCGTGGTGTGTAGTAGCTGTCCGCGTGGTAACAGCTCTCGCGGTCACATATGGACTCTTTCCTTCCATCGGTTCCAGGCTTTCCGCCTAATGGGGTTAGACTAGCATGCTTAACTATTTACAGGGAATACTAGCTACTGTTCTACCAATATCAAGACTGAATATAAAGGTGGCTATGAATAATAAAAGTGACATAGGAATGATATTGTTAGAACGATAACATAATAAACATTGAATCTACAGAAGCATTGAGCTTTAAGTAAAAATTGGAGAAAAATAATTAAATGAAGCCACACATTACAACAAAATTAAGGAAAAATCTGGGTGGCGTCTCTTGCCTGTTAAGGTTACTCAAAACGTATGTACAGTAACAAACGAACCTTATTTGTGTGTGTCGAGAATGTCACTTCACCGGTTCCTAAGTTCTCGACTTCCTGCTCGACATTGTGCGTGACACCATCATCATTTTTCGTCAGTAGCTGCTTGGTGGTAGTCTTGACTACTACAGGAGGTGTGGGAGTTTTCTTGCTGCGCTGTGATATGGGGATTTTAGAGGAATTCGGGGTAGAGGATGACACGTAACCCTGATGTCTAATATGTTCACTGGTCGTGTACTCCGTGAAACTCTTAGGATCATCGCCTCGCGCAGGACTCTCGTCCTTTCCAAATGTGGAAAACTTATGAGTGTTTACTGTCTGAATGTCAATATTGGCAGGAAGATCCTCGGTTTCCTTCTCAATAGTATAGTTTCCACTCTTATCGCCGAAATGTGAAGGATCAATTTGTGAATAATGTAATATGAGCTGCCCGGTAACTGGATCTCTAACCGCGGTGCTTGGATCAATGTCGCCCGTGTCAGGATCTATGTCTCCGTATTCTGTCTTAATTCTGCCCGTAACAGGATCTATTTTGCCCGATAACGTCATTGTCTGAGTGACAGTTGTTCTCGCACCCTTCAGTCTCGGGTCATCAGGATCTACGTCAATCGTTTCACCGGTGATGGGGTCCACAATTTGATACAAGTAAACTGTCTTTGTTGTAATGATTCTTCCCGTAGTTTCATCAATAGTGCATTCTTTAGGATCAACCTCTTTAACGCGTCCTTTATCGTCCTTTTGTGTGATAATGAAAATCTTAACAATAACGAGCCTGCCTGTTCTTGGATCAATTTTTCCCACTTTGGTGTAGATTTCCCCGGTGCCAGGGTCGACTTGAGATACGGAGTAGAGAGGTTGATTGTTCTCATCTACATCGCCAGTAGCTGTATAGACTTGTCCGTTAACAGGATCAACCTTTATGAGCGATTTGTCAATGTCTGTAGTTCGTACGATGGTTCCAGTCTTTGGATCCAAACGTCCGTAGATTGTTATAATGTATCCAGTAGTTGGATCGATCTGTCCAGCGGTGAACAAAGTTTCGCCAGTTTGTGGATCTTTAGGTCCAGCGACCCAAATTTGGTTGGTTTTAGGATCAACTTTAACGTTTCTGGGGTCATTAGCAACAATTTGCTTCCCAGATACAGGATCGACTTTATTCTGAATTATTCTCAAGCAAATTAATCTACCGACATCCTTGTCAGGTTTCCCAGATTTCGGGTTGACTTGTCCACTTCGAAGCAAAACTTGTCCAGTGACTGGATCAACTTTAACCTCTTTACTCTCGAATTTTCCCGTCTTTGGGTCGTTGTATGTGACTGTTCCCTTAACTAGGTCTATTTGTCCATATTTAGTATCAATTTTGTTGGTTTCAGGGTTAAGTTGACCAGTAGTACTTTCAATGACAGAGTGTTTGGGTTCAATAACTCCCTTCTTTGCATCAACTTTTCCGACAAATGTTGTTACTTCAACTACTGGGTCAATGTGAGTTCCCACAACTATTAACTGACTTAAAGTTGGATTAGATTTGCCAGTTTTGGGATCGATCGCACCAGTGACAGTAATTTGGCCGTTGTTCTCATCAATATGGACAGGTTTGGTGTCTTGTGCGCCAGATGTGTTGGTAACGAATATAACTCCATTTGAAGGGTCAATAACGCCATACTTCGTTGAAATATGTCCGGTATCAGCGTCGACTTTGCCTTTAGTGTGTTCTATCGTACCGGTTTCAATATTAACCTTTCCGGTTCTAGGGTCAACTTGGCCAGTAATAGTTGTAATTTCAACAACAGGATCATCTTGTTTGGCAACACTCAAAAGCATTCCTAAATTAGGATCAGTTTTGCCAGTCTTAGGATCAACTGCTCCTGAATGGATGAATATTTGACCAGTTTCAGGCAAAACCGTACCATCCCTGGTTTGTTTCTGTCCTGCGGCATCCGTAACGACAATAGTACCTTTGTTAGAATCTATTACACCATACTTAGTTTCAATCTGGCCGTTAGGATCAAGAATGCCAGTAAGATGTTCCACTTCAGCGGTGTACAGATCGGGTTTCTTCGTCTTAGGGTCGAGTTTAGTGAACACAACCATGATTTTGACAATCTTCCTCTTGGGTGGTTCGGGAGGAGCCGTTGTAGGCTTAACAGGCGACGCTCTTTGAACGGCAGTGATAGGCGAAGCTTTCTGCGCGTAACTAGCAATTACTGGCGATGAAGTACGTACCGGCGATTGTAAAGGAGTTTGCATTGGGGTGGAAGCAGGCGTTTTTACTGGGGACGGGATCTGTCTTGCTGGGGACGCGCTAGCTCTCTGGGTGATTGGCGCTACTTTAGGCAACACGTTGTTTTTGTCTACAATAGTAAGTTGCTGGGCGAATGAGGGGTCCACTTTGCCTGTTTTAGGGTCAACAACTGCAGTAGTAACAATAATATTTCCTGTCTTTGGATCGATTTCCGCTTGCTTCAATTCTTGCTTTCCACTTGCTGGGTCTTTGTATAGAATCTGACCCGATTTAGGATCGATAATGCCGAAATCTGTATGAATCTTTCCATCTTCAGCACTAACATAACCTTTCGAAGCATCAATGGTTCCAGAACCGGCGTCTACAGTTTTGGTTTTTGGATCATACTTGCTTGTAACAATAACGAGTCGAACTTCGCCTTTACTAACTGGCTTAGCAATAGGTGTAACGGTTTTGTTCACAATACTGTACTGTTGAGCAAGAGTTGGATCGACTCTTCCAGTGTTTGGATCCACAACTTGACTTGTGATGAGCATATGTCCGTTAGAAGGATCGACTTGTGCTTTCTTGACCTCCTGTTTCCCCGTCTTGGGATCTGTAATAATGATTTCCCCTGTTGCTGGATCAACAACTCCAACTGCAGTTCTGATCTTACCATCAGGTCCAATGGTTCCACTGACAGTATCGACATGAGCTTGGCTCGGATCAATTTTTTTCGTTCGTGGGTCATATTTAGTTGTAATAATAACCAAATGAATTTCACGTTCAACTGGTTTTACGTCTTTATCAACAATGCTTAGCTGCTGTGCTAAAGAAGAATCTATCTTTCCGGTCTTCGGATCAACAACGCCTGATGTCAGAATGAAATGCCCAGTTTTAGGGTCAGCAACAGCTTGCTTTATATCCTGTTTCCCTGTCTTAGGATCAATGCATTCAAACTTACCCGTTTTCGGATCAAGAATACCGAAGTTCGTGTGAACTTTTCCGTCAGAAGCAACGACGCCTCTTGAGGTCTCTACATAGCCATTGGGATTATCTAACCTCTTATTCTTAGAGTCATATTTGTTTGTTATAACAACCAGTTGTACTTCTTTACCTGGCACTGCGGCAAACTTATCTTTAGGTTTATTAACAATACTTATCTGCTGTCCAAGGCTAGGATCGATCTGTCCTGTGTGCGGATCTACAACACCCGAAGTAAGTAACAGGTTTCCTGTCTTAGGATCAACAGTGGCTTTCTTCACCTCTTGTTTACCTGTTACAGGGTCTGTAATTATAATTTGACCAGATGCTGGATCAACAACACCGTAATCGGTAAGAACTTTGTCATCAACACCGATTTTTCCAGGAATTGTGTCAACGTGAGCCTTTGAGAGATCTAATTTCTTATTTTTAGGATCGTATTTGCTTGTGACAATGACCAGATTGACATGTCTTTCAGGGATTCCTTTAGGAGCATCCTTATCAACCACAGTGAGTTGCTGAGCAAGGGAAGAGTCAGTCTTTCCAGTTTTGGGGTCAACAACTCCAGAGGTGATGAGAAAGCTGCCCGTTTTAGGATCAATGGTGGTTTGTTTGGAATCTCTCTTTCCGGTTTTGGGCTCAGTGAAATATATTTTTCCGGAGTTCGGATCTAATATACCAAAGTTTGTATGGACTGTGCCATCTTTGTCACTAATAATGGCTTGAGAAGTTTCAATGAAACCGTTAGGGTTATCTAATTTTTTGTTCTTTGTGTCGTATTTCGATGTAATAGCAACAACTTGCACTTCTTTTCCAGGTACGACGGCAAATGTACTCATAGGTTTATCGACAATACTGTACTGTTGTCCCAATGTAGTATCTAATTGGTCTGTCCTTGGATCTACAACTCCAGATGAAAGCAGGATGTTACCTGTCTTAGCGTCAACTTGAGCATGTTTGACGTCTGTTTTTCCTGTCTTAGGATCAGTAACTTGGATATCACCAGTCCTAGGGTCAATAACTCCGTACTCAGTGTAGATCTTGCCATCAGTTCCACTCAAAACACCTTTTACTGCGTCAACATGAGCAAAGTGCGGGTCTAATTTCTTGTTCTTCACATCGTATTTGCTTGTAACAACTACTAATCTGACTTCTCTGTTAGCTTTTGTTGCATCTTTCTCAACTATGCTGAATTGCTGGCCAAGAGAAGAATCGACCTTTCCTGATTTTGGATCAGTGACTCCAGTAGTTATAAGAATGTTACCAGTTTTCTGGTCGACATAGGCTTGTTTAGGCTCCTGCTTCCCGGTTTTTGGGTCGATGTAGTCAATTCTACCATTTCTAGGATCAATGACGCCAAAGTTTGAAGATACTTTGCCATCGGGTCCTACAATTGCCTTTGAAACGTCAACATGTCCGTGAGAGGCATCTAATTTCTTGTGTTTGCCGTCATATTTGGCTGTGATGACGACCAAGTCGACTTCTCTACCAGGTTTGGCACCTACCTTATCATCAGCTTTGTCCACAAAACAATACTGTTGAGCTAAAGTAGGGTCAATTTTGCCCGTTTTGGGATCAATTACACCTGAATTAAATAGAATATGTCCCGTTTTATTATCAACGTGACCATTCTTGGTTTCTTCTTTTCCTGTAGCTGGATTTGTGTACGTGATTTGTCCAGACTTCGTATTAATTAATTCCTTTTCAGTTTGAATCTTGCCGTTGCCTTTGTTAATTGTTCCTTTTGTAACTAGAACAGTTCCATTGGCATCGTCGAGCTTCTTCGATTTGGGATTATATTTACCGGTAATTATGACTACTTGTACTTCGTTTTCAGGTTTTACTACAGCTACGGGTGCGGCAGCTCCAACTGGTGTTTCATGCATTGCTCTCTCCGCGTTTAGTAAAGCAAGTGTAGGATCGATAACGTTCGCTTTAGCCTGTTCCTTCAAAGCAGCTGACTGCACGTAATCTATGCCTGGTGTAATAAGCTTGCTAGGATCTTCTGGTGTTTTTCGTTTCTCAGCGCTTTCAACTAACTTTTTGTCTTGGCCTGGTGCGTAATTGAAAGCAAGGCCTGCCTTTCTGGTGGATGGACTTTGACTGGCATCATGATATTTCTGTCTTTCATCCGAAATCGGTTCTTTGTCATAACTGAATGCACCTTGAAGTATAGGTTTGGTGCGCGATGGACTCTTTTCAGTATCTGTGTATTCATAGGGCTTTGTGTAGCTTGGTTTCTCGTCGGTTTTAACAGGGCTTTTTTCTAATGAACTATCGAGATTTGAACTCTCGTTAGATGAATCAAGCATGGCGACTTTACTTTTAGGATCTTTGATCTTTTTGTCTTTAGGCGATTTTGGTGATCTGTCTTTGACCTTAGGCGATTTTTCTTTTGGAGACTTTTCAGGTGATTTCTTGCCACCGAATAAACCAAAACCTCCCGCCTGATGGGATAGGAATGAGGAAAAAACAGAAAATAAAATTAAAAGTAAAATAATAAAAATTATAAATGCGACAAGGAATATTTGTATAAGTTTAATGACCAACTTATACTGAAAAACATTGAGCGAACTGAATATAAAATGCAATATGCAAGGCATGCCTCGGTTATAGCATTTTCTAATAATTATATTTACAAATTTGTATGATACATTATATCTACTTATAGTGACATTCCGTGATCATTTTCAAATGCCTTGGTTCTACCGTTCGAAAAAGTAAGAGATTCATTACATAAATATATTGGCGAATTAATAAAGAGTAGGTTATTTTAACATATCACATACCTTAGATTTCCTAGGCGTAGTATCTACATTGTTTGTGACACCAGGATCACTGGACGTGTCTGTGCCTGGAAAAGAACCAAATAAACAAAAGTCAAAAAAGTACATAGTAAACGCTATTATTTTGTTTTTCCAGAGTGGACTCTTAACAACGCTGTCTTATTAGAATTATCATCATAATCAATTACATTCTATTCTTATTTATTTTCTAATTCATTTCTAAATCGCTTTGCTGACTATCAATAAATTATTAACCCTTCTTTGAAAATACTATATTATGCTTCAACAAATGGTCATCATCATAGTGTCAACTTACCGTTCTCAGCGGGTTTCTTCTGCTCAACAACCTTCTCCTTTTTCTCTTCCTTCTTATCAGTAGGGGGTGCTGTTGGCATCACCTTCACCGCCCCGGCGGGCGGCTTCTGCAAGAACCAGTATCAGAGTCAATATATGTCCTAGATTATTTTAATAACCATCATTGCGATAATATATCATGCTCTTGCGTTGTTAACCTGACATGTCTTTGTACAACCCGCAAAGATTAACAGGAGATTTCGCATTGATGAATTTTAGTCAAACTTTGCAAAATATGCGTGACAAACCTGAATTAGTCTTGTAATTCCCAGCGCCCAAGCGAGCTCTCTCTATTAAGCTCTACGGGTCAAGCAAGGTTGTGATAAATAGGGCGTCATATAGTTCTTGTTCTACTGACTCTTTTGACGAGTGTCTTATGAAAACATTACTCATGTGCGACTTAAACAAAAATACTACTTCTAATTTCTACATCCAAAGAAAAAATGAACTGTGATAAATTGTAATGAGAATGCACAAGTCCTTATAATAAGAATAGTTTATATTTGTGTAAGGATACGATTTGTATTTTTAATTATTTACTTCATCTTTAAAGTAACGAAAGTCAGCTTTAAAATGGTTTCCCTTCAAAGTGACGTCAGCATCAAAGCGCCGACTCCTACTTTTATAAATCTGTTTCCAAAAAGCTAATATTTGAGAATAATCAAGGCTGAATAAAAATTTACTAGACCACGTCAGCCGTTAACGTCTGTTCCATTTTATTAAAAAAACTGCCCTTTGTATCTATTGTCTTCTTATTTAAAATGTTCAAAATATGAATAAGATAAGCCAAACTATATGTATATACAGGGTTATTTTCTAAGAACTCAAAAACTAACCACAGCATCCAAATCAATGAAAGAAACTCTGTTCTATCACGTTAGAAAATTCCAGTAAACAAGTCGAAGGAATCGCTGATGAAGGTTTGTATGTAAATTTCATACAAAAAAAGGTTGTTTCTTTTAATGACAGAAATGCTGTGTTATAATTTCAAGTCAATGAAACATAACCCTATACGAGCGTCAGGGGAGTATGAACCTTGTCCGGTGGCGCGAGGTACTCCCCCTCGAGGGAGGATGCGGAGGAGGCGCTGGTGCCCCCCGAAACGCGCCGCAGCTGTCCGGCAGCGTGCGACAGTCAATGAGTTAACATATCGAAGGTATACATAAATAGACTTCATATTTAGAAAATTCATAGCCCCTAACGCAGCTTGGTCCAACCGTATCACTTGGTAGTAGGCGTTCATTGGTAAGAGTATAGATGTACATTGCTTGGAGAGTTTGATCGGTTCCAGAATAGTACATCTATTTATTAAGAGTGCCAAGGAATGTACGTCTACTAACAATAAATCGTCCTTTTTAGCACTAACGATACACGGGCATATACTCTTTTATTAGTGATGTAGACCGAGACCACAGACCTCCAATAGCCGCGCTTATCGGGCGGGAATAATGACATTCAATTAACTGCCACTTTTTTAGCTAAGTGCTTACTAAATAAATGGCAATACATTGTTCATATCATTCAAAACTTTATTTGTTTTTGATTAATTCATAAACTATTAACTAACTATGTTTATCTCAGACGTAATGAACCATGCTCAACAAAATGTACATGAATGATTGATTAGTCAACAGTACTTAGTAATAGTCAATTTAACTAAACTAGTTTATTAACAACAAACTAAATGTGTTATTTACCGGTGAACTCTGTTACTATGTTCCATTTATGGTTGTTGCCAAAAAAACTACCTTTACCTTACTAAATTGTTACTTTTGTGTTTATATAAAGGGTGACTTCTGTTGTTTGTTTTTTTTAATAAAAAAATATTGCTTTAAAAAAATTTAAAAAATTTAATGAAACTCAAAAAAAATTATTTTTTTCATAGTTAAGCAAATTACACTTGAAATCATCAAATTAATTACAACAATAATCATATTGCTTTTGTTAAAAAATATTTTACACATAGACTTTGTCACTGTACTGTTATTTCTTATAGGTAAGTGTTACAATACATCAAGTGAAAGCTGGAGATGAATTTCATGCATCTTGTAATCCTATATCCTAACTACAATAACTAATCCTGTGTAGTCCTTACTTAACAGCACCTTTTTAATATAGTTTTAAATTTTTCTCTGATAGTTGTATTACTTCACCTGGTATTTTATTTGCAATTTCCTATGAAAGATGAGGCTACTTTATGCAATCTAAATTGTAGGAGTGCCAATTTACGTCGTCGGTGTTTTGTAGAAAGAGCGTAAGCGATATTTTCAGGGAGCACATATTAATGTTCACGACTGTTTTAAAATATTTACATTCCGTTTTAAATTACATTTTAAAACTTAAACTTACCAAAATTTTGTTTTACAACGGAGCGTAAATATAAATAAAACAGTCGTTTAAATTCTAAAACACGCTTCCATATTTTTTTTTTTTCGAAATATCGCTTACGCCCGCCCTTTCTATAAGACACCGACGATGTTTACTGTGGAGTAACAACAAACCTACATAAAAATAAAGCGAATTATGATAAAATGCGAGGAGTCGACTTATTAAAATGGAATCACAAAATTTTTCTGACCAGCTCGAGTGTGGGACTACCTTAAAAAATGATATCTAAGGAAACGGTCAAATTTGTCAATTTATAATATTTATCACATAAATGGAACATAGTATGATGTCTAATCATGCAGTGAACAATATTACATTTCATTATGTCTATGAATTTTGAAAATAAGGGATAAGTTTCTATTATTGAATTTGACATTATTTACACTGTGGGCGCTGGATGAGGAGGTCCAGGTTCGATTGCCAGTAGCATCAATTTGGGATATGAACTTTTGTAAATTGGTTCTCATCGGGGGTTTTGGGTGAGTGTGAATTTCTTTGCTCTGATACTAAACGTGGATCTTGTGTTGGATACAAGCAACCGGCAAGTAGAAGTGAATATTCTAATTCTCATACAATTGATAGACATAGTCACCGGTTACAGCGGCCGGACACTTTCGCCGGTTGCTTGTATCCAACACAAGACACACATTTGCGGGGCGCCATATAAAGCAGGTCCATAGTTTGGTATAAGTTAACAAATAAACAAATAACGCCCACACTCATAGGGACTAGGAACTAGGGAAACCCTGTATCGCGTTTGCCATGGACACACATATAGGTAGACAACCACGAATTACACCCAAACTGCGAGAGAAATAAATATAGTCCATACAAATATTTATCCCGGCCCGGAATCAAACCAGGGACCTCTGTGTGGCGGTCAGCATGGTAACCGTTCGGCCACGGAGGCAATTATTGGTGTCGTTGTTAGGCACATTATTATTATTATAACTATTTGACTTCTTTCATTCGTTGACTCCTAAATTTAAAGGATAATATCTGGAAGTTCTGACATTACAATAGATTGCTAATAAATAGCTCGGAATTACCAATGCACAATCTAGACTCTTTTAAATTTCCTAGGATATTTCGTTCGTTCTTTTCACGAGACACCTTTAAAGTCATTTTTGGTATTATAATTAGAGAGAAGTATAATTAAAAGTGTAAGAACAATAAGTAGTTTGACTTTAGCTGTAATCAATTAAGCAGTGTAGAGTGTTGTCTTTTGAACTAATTGAAAATTAATTTTATTTATTTAGACACCTTTTTGACAATATATTTTAAAAGATGATTTTATTTGAGAAAACGATATATTGCTTTTATTGGTTACGGGTTTTTTTAAAAGTATATATAGATATTTCTCAAAAAAACCTACTTTGAAAATTTCGCCACTTTATTGAAGTTACAAAAATATCCCATTGACATGATATTTTAAATTGTAATATTGCAAAATTGGCTATATTAAATAAACGATTCTATTATATACCTTTTTAATTATATTATTTTATCACAGCATAAATACCTTGTCCTTGATGGTGGGTCTAGGCGCGGGCTGTGGCGGCATGGTGTGCCGCTTTGCTGCATCTCCCGGCATCGACTCATCCTTCTCGCCTGCAAGCGCTGAAATAAAAAAATAACAATGCAAATTACTTGAGTACAATTCGCTGGCCCAACGGGTAGCTGAAAAGGTCCCGGCTTTTATTCCCGGTAAGACCTATTTCTGCCGTCAAGCAGTAATGTGAGCATTACTGTGTTCCGGTTTTGAATGGTAAAGGTGCTGGTAATATTACAGCCACATGATGTCACCTTATGTATCAGGGAGACGGGCGCAGTGGCAGTGATCTCGAAATCTTTGCGATTTAAACCTCTAAGTGGCACTGCAACTGCTATAAACAGGTGTGTCGCTTACCATCAGGCGTACAACTTGGTCGTCCATTCACTAGGTATCATAAAAAAAACCTATTTGGGAACCGAAATTGCGTTAATTGGTTTTGGTTAATTTTATAATTATTACGTCATTATTATCGTTATCGTTGTTGAATAAAAAATTATAAAATTTAAAGCGCGTCTACACGAACTACTACTACTACTACGGTCTAACTTAGCATTTTAACATTCACTTAAATATCGAATAGGTTATTTTAGATGCACTATTTACACTTTATTGTATTAATTATTTCAATGAACAATTTAACTCGTGGTATTGATTCGTATATTTTTGCTTACAAATAACTTCTACATTTAGTCCATCTCGTTGCTTCTAACTGAAAAGCTGCGCCTTAGGAAACTCATTATGTGTTAGCGCTCTTTCACTGCTATGACAAAAATGTTTTTATTTTTCCTTTTCTATTTAATCTGTAATCAGTATTTGTGTCATGTTAGGGAATAGAATAGAATCATTACTTCCATATTATCAATTTCATAATATCACAATTCGAAATATAAAGTCAAGGGATAACATGATCGTCATTAAGGTAAATAACTACAAAAACACAAATAAAAATTTAAATAATTTCAAATTAAAAATTTAATTACAATTTCTTTAAAAGAAATTCCTCTACACTGTAGAATTCATTATCCAATAAAAAGTCTTACAGTCGGGAACAAAACACTTCGTCATTTGTAACACTTTTTACTCGCGGATTTCTCGTTGCGGTTTCGGTAACAGTCGGCCTCCGCCTGTGCATCGCTCGTAAATATGTATGTTTTTAAGCACAAAAACAATTACATCGTGAATGTACTGTGATTACGTTGTCATCACATGGTGCTTTCGAAAAAGGCTTCTACAGAACCGATGAATAAAATGTTTATCCATCTACCTTTAACGCGAGTAAACCTGCAAACTGCCGAATTATTAATAGGAAATTTTATGAGCGCTGAGCAGCACGTCATAGATGATACTATTCCCGAAACCGTGTATAATCATAATATACATACGTAGATTTCACCCAATCCACGTTGAGTGTAACGGAATACATGTTAACACAGACCTGTGACTAGCAGTGCTACTTGAGTGGATTGATAAGAAGGTAATAGATTTGTTTTAATTTCCAGATGTTTTATAGTTTGTAGTATTTTTGTATAAGTTTCTTGTCTACGTTAAATCTACCCCCACCCCAAATTGCTAGGTGGAAATAACCATTCCAATAAATACATTAAATATTATAACTTTTTTATAGAAAAAAAGACCTCAAAAGTTCGTGGAATTACATCTATTTGATAGTTTCATTTAAATCTCTCGTGCTCGAAACCGGATTCATCCTCTAGTTTGCCACCCTTAGAGGTCAAATAGTTTCTTCAAATTTAAATGGGGCCAATTGAGGTACCCTCTTTCCAACAAAAAAGACATACATACATACCAAAAAACACAGTCGAATTGAGAATTTCCTTTTTCTTGAAGTTGGTTAATAAAGTAGCTGTCACTTACGCTCGATCATGACGAATTAAATGGGCATGCCATCGCCAGCGCCATGTTTTTTTTAGATACACAATTGACGCACGCGTTTGTCCAAAAAATGCCTATTCATTCTAGCTTTGGACAACAACCAATTGCATTTTTTATGACATCAAGTGACGGACGAAAACTTCACACAAGCGCAAGTCGTGCGACTGGTGTTAAGCGACACGCCTGCCCATAACAGTTACAGTGCCACGGAAAGCTTTAAATCGCAAAGATCTGGGACACAAGTTAACAAGTCCCATACGCCTGTAGTTTCGCCTACACCCTTACCTTTCAAAACCGAAACACACATTACTGTTTGGCGGTAGAAATATGTAAGTGGCAGTACTTCCGTGGACGAACTCTTTCACAAGGAGCTCTACTGCTACTAAACATTCTGGAATTGCATTCAATACATTCGGGAAAAAGAGAAAAACACTTTATTACTGACCAATATGCCGCAAAAGCGAACGCGCGAAAATTCCACCAAATTTGTCTTTAGCTTTAAAGCGTTAGGCAATTTTCATATAAACTGTGTATTTATTGAAACGTGTTTACGTTAGAGCACCAACAATCTTTAAAAGTTGTTAATGTTGGAAGTACTCCAAAAGCAAGCGCCGGCACGGGTTAAGTGTTTATTTTATCAAATTGAAAGCACTGATTCTGCTGATATTTTGTATATACGAAAACAGTTTTCATAGAAACTGCCGAAAGTTTAAACAAACAAAATGTTCGATTACTCCAAATTCACCCCACGAACTCCTTTTCTGCGCAACTACATTCTAAACTTGCGATATTTTTTTTAATATCACTTTTATTGAAAATCACGATGGTTTACCTACCACGATATTCAATTATTGTTTTGTGAAATTACTCCACTTATTAATACAACGGTCGAACACTAGGAAAAATTCCTTCAATCCAGCTGAATACCAACCAGCGCCTTCAACATACAGTGCCTGACGCTCTCCCAACTGAGCTACGAAACAAACCACTAGACCTTAACAATTTTTCTAAATATTTGTTCTTGGTTTCAGATCTTTTTGTTTTTTATTTTCAAAGTATATCCGACTTGTCAAAGCGAGGATGACATTTGCGCGAAGCGGTATCGACGAGCCGCAAACTAAATTTTAAGTACGTCTGATTAGAGAGAAACAACTGATCTATTCCGCATCGTATTTTCTTTCACCTCAATGTGGTTTCCAACCACAGCTAGTACACAATTGTGCAACCTATACTTCTGTGGCTCTAGTGAAAAGGGGTACAAGTAAAAAAAGTCAACTTTACAAGGAGACGCGAAAAACCGTTAATATGATATTAAGTCTTACTTTTTGACCTTGTATCCCTTTTCATTAGAGCCATACATTTTATACACCTATCTGCTGGGAGTTATCACAAGTTTTAGCAAAAACCCGTGTATAGTATACGGGCCCAGGAAAAATAAAATGAGAACGACAGGATCACCATAGATATCGGAAAAATGTTTTTACTATGCAGGTATACTATTTGCAAAGATGCCAAGTACTCTACAATGTCTGTAATTGCAATACAGAGTTTATGTAAGAAGAAGTACCACTGCCGCCAAGCAACAACATGAACAATACTGCGTTTTTGAAGGGTAATGTTGTTGATGAAAATGCAGGAACATGGGACTTCACAACATTTAAAAAAATTTTACCTTTTAATACCAAGTGACGGGACGAACAATTCGTGCGCCTGTTGGTAAGCGACACGCCTATCCATAACAGTTGCAGAGGCACTCAAAGCTTTAAATCGCAAAGATATTAGGGGCACTGCCACTGCGCTCGTCACCCTTAGACATAAATTGACAAGTCCCATGTGCCTGTAATTTCACCAGCACCCTTAAACCCTTCCAAACCGGAAAGCAGTAGTGCTCACATTACTGCTTGGCGGCAGAAATAGGTACTTGGTAGGTGGCAGTACTTCCTTGGACGAACTCATTGTACCTACGTGTCGGGCTATGACCTAAATCCTCTTTTAAGGGGAAACCCGTGGCTGGTAATGGAACGTATAATAAGTTAATGACAATTAATATGATGAGAAGTGTGGCAGTAACTATCTGTTTTTTTGTCAGCAAAAGGAAAATCATAACGCCTTTATTTCGCATGTACGAAAATTAAATGTACATGCGCAGTGGCTGAATAATAATTACGAAGGGAAACCGATGTGCAAGTGCATTTTCCATGAAATGGAAATAAAGTAAGCAAGCTCGAAGAGAATTGTGTTATATAGACCCTTCGGCAAGGCACATACAGTGCATTTTACTTTGCCATTTGTAATAAGATGACCCTATATGCAAAACAGCACATAGTACCAAATCACGTTTTAGCAATGTTGTGACAAATACTTCTCGTAGATAAGGTCGTTTACGGCTGGTGCTAATTTCATGTTTTTGCATGTCCATGGTTGGGAGAACAACTTAAATACTTATACTTTATCTACTGCATAGGTACTATGCATATAACGTTAAGCTACTAGGTCAGAGTTTACAACAAGTGTAGACTAAAACTCTACGTCTGTACGTGAAACTCATCGAGTGTATAACCAGAAATAAAGACGAAATAAGGGCCATCCATCCCTGGAAACTCATCAGGTAAATGGGCTTTATATCACTTTTAAATATTTTTGCGCTGAAATCACAAATTAAAAAACTGAAATAGTACAGCGCCAACAACTGACCTGTGTGTACGTCTCTATATTTCAAAAATATTCTATATTTATTGTAATAAAGATAATATCTCTAACAATGAGGGGCTGTTCCTTTCGGTGGTGTGGGAAAAACAGCTAAATATCTAATTACAAAACAAACGAAATCACATTTCATCGGTAATTAAATATTAAATAAGTAATTTTTCAATTTTCGTCCATATATTATAGCAAAGGTTAAGGTAAACTGGTCGATTTGAAGTGAAACAATTGATGACACCCTTCAATTGTTTCGAATTCGGGCTGGCCAAGCAGAGCGCAGTTGTCACCGTGATGATTTGGCAGAATAGTTTTCATGTAAACTAAATGACGTTTCGTCTCTACTTTTGGTTATATACTCGATGGTGCAGCTCTACGCAAATTCGCTCGATCGTCGATAGCTACACATTGATTTATTTAAATATAATAAACGTTATTCTCACTTTTTTTTTGTTTCGGTAAATGTGCCGAAGTG